GAGGAAGATTAGGGATATACATGCTGACTGCTCCACCTGCAGTTTATAAGCAGGTACTGCAGTTGTTTTGCTATTCAAGAAATGTCAGTGCAGTCAAGGAAAAAAAAAAAAAAGTTGTTTCCTCACCAGACACCGTGTCTGCACCACTCCACCACTGGCTCTCTATTATTTAGTGTGTGAGCTTTCAACAGCAGCCATTGGTGCAGTCATATGTTTTTATTATGCGCATGAATTTATAAATTTACATTCAGATGTGTGTGGGTTTCAGAGTGTTACATAATCAAAGGTCTGTTTGGATTTACCTGATACTCTGGCATTGCAGGTAGAGCTCACATTATATTCACCAAAATATTCACCACCTTCTCGTCCATCCTCATTACTGCTTTTTGTTTATCACAGTAATAAAACTGCCTGGAAATGTTAATGATAATGTCTGAGAGCTCGTTCATAGGGCTGATGTAAACTCTCTACTTGAAGCCGTTTGTTTCGGAGAAACAACCGAGGAAGAGTTATTACTGAAGATGATTAACTCTAATAACTGACCTGACCTGCGTTAGAATCCAGATGCTGTATTACTAATTTAATCTTTTAAGTTGTCACTATTTCCATAAATGTAACACCAACTCAAAAAGCAAGTGATAATAAAATTAGACACTGCGCTGCTTCACTGCAAGTGATGAGCTGCTTTGATTAATTGTTACAGCCCTCGACTCTGCGTAAGTATGACAACCACAACAGAGCTGAACCTGTTGGAGCAATACAAAGGAGGATGCGCTCCTTTACTGGTCTTTTATGGAGTAACACAAATGCTTCAGTGAAACTGATGTTGGCGTGGAGCAGTCTGTGAATGTAAAGGGATTTATGTGTGATAGAAGTGCATTCATACTCAGCTCCGTCTCCGTGTTTTAACTGTGATAAGGCAGCTTCAGCGTCCCCTGGAGGAGTCTGTTTTGATCCTCTGATGAACAACAGATCAATTCTACCTGCTCTCCAGAATAACCTTAACCGATGCTTGACATCAAGGATTCCCTCAAAAAGCTAATATGCCCCATCTAATTCTGTTTTTAGAAGCTTTAAACTACTAATAAATCACAGCTAATGTGATGAAGTAGTGGTGAGGAAAACTGCTTTTTTTTTATGCTTGCCTATTGTTTCCTCTTTCCTGCACTTATATTGCAGCAGACACAGGAAAAGATCAGATCCACCGTCTCGACGGCCACCTGCCCGTCCCAGTGATGTCCACTGCATGGTGCATACCTCCCAGCAGAGTCATAGTGGACATGGCGGGACTCCAGAGATGGGCTCACCAGTTCTAGGCCACTTCAGCCCACGGGACATGCTGCGAAGTCGCAATCACGTTGCCATAGACAGCCCTGAGCGACGGCGCCGCGCTGGCCACAGCAGTCTGACGAATATCAGTCGTCACGAGTCCCTGAAGAAGATGGAGAGCCCACCGATTCGACGTTCCACGTCCTCGGGCCAGTACACAGGCTTTACCGACGCCCATCACCACCACCACCACCACCACCACCACGGCGGCAAGCCCCTGGATCCGGAGACCATCGCACAGGTCAGCGCGGGACGAGCGGCGACCCGACCGCAGCTCCCTCCACCATCAAAGCCCTGCCCTGCCCTGTAAAAACATAGTCAGTCCCAGTCTTCTGCTTCCTCTGGCTGCAACCTAGTCCCTGTGCTAAAGAAATGCAAAAGACTAGCTTCACAGGCAGACGGCAGGGATCACAGTATACTCCTACACACAATATTCCTAGAAATTCTGAATTTTTTGGAAAATGCCAAATATTCCAAAGTCTGATCTTGAATTTTGTCATCATTCTAATATGGCTTCTGTCATATAAGATTATATAATGGTGGAGCCATAGTCTTTTATAGGCTGTCGTTTAGAAAGCAGAGGGTTACAGAGAGCACCTTAAACTGTGCTGGGCTGTCGGTCTGCCTACTGGGAGCATGCTAAGATGAACATGTCATCTCTGCATCTCATTTGCAATCCAGAGCCATTAACATGGTGAGGGAGAAGAGCCAGTATTAAGTAATATTGTCTACCAACTTTGCATGTATACTGCATGCTTGGTCTTTTCTTAAAAAATCTCTCCTTGTGATCTTCTTTTATGTTGTGTCTGTGTTCTCCATGTTTTTGCATGTTTATGGTCTTTTTCACTCTTAATTTCTCCATCCAATCTTGCCTTATTGTTTTTTCTCTCTTTTTTTCATCTTAACCCTCCTGCTCGTGTCTTGCCTATGTCATTATCATCCTCTCTCACGCACATTTTTCTCCTCTCCTGCAGGACATAGAGGAAACTATGAACACTGCTCTGAATGAGCTGCGAGAGCTGGAGCGGCAGAGCTCAGCCAAGCACGCCCCCGACGTGGTGTTGGACACCCTGGAGCAGCGGCAGACCTCCGGCAGCAGCGGCGGAGGTCCGACGCCGGCCAGCTCCAGCGAGTCCCTCAGCCCCATCCACGGCGTCATGCTGAGGTCAACTGCCAACACTGAGCCGCCCACCCGCCGCAGCACCAGCTCCTCCAATGATTCTGTGAGCACGTTCAAGCCCGTGGTAGCACCACGCATGGGGGTGCAGCTCAAACCCCCCGCTTTGAGGCCCAAGCCCATGGTCTTACCAAAATCAAATCAGGCCCCTCAGCCTCCTGCTAATTCTTCTCAGGACCCTCTGGATAAGTCCTGCACCATGTAACCTCCAGGGCGGGAATCGGAGAATGTAAATCAAAAACTCTCAATCTAGTTCCCAAGAGACTGTGAAACCAGTGTTTACAGTTCTCAGAGAGAGTACACGTAATATCTAAGAGTGTGTAAAATACTTGGCCCTGGATTGGAGACATTTCTTTTTGATGGTTTGAATCTGAAAACAAGAATTTAAAAAGGAGTTATTGATGTAGGAGTTGTAGTGAAGACAGATTTGTCTGTTGTCTCAGATTTGTGTTAATATGTTTAGGTAATATTAATATTAAATAACAGATCTTAAAAAAAAAAGATTTTAAAAACAACAAATCACAAAGGCTTCCGGAAAGTTTTAGAAAATGTACACATTAGTTTAGTTTACAGATGATAATGAACTGTAACTCTGAACAACATGTGGTGCATGCAGTTCTTGAACCTGTGGTGAGAGCTGTCGTGACCACAGATTAGATTTTTCTTTCCCTTTTATCTAGAATGGCCTTCGGAGGTGTTGCGAACCAGTACATAGATCATACATCAGATGTTCATTAATAGAAAAGGTGCTGTGACTTGCTGGGCAGAAAGAGTTTTAAGGAGCCAAAACAGCCCTTTACAGATTATTTATTAACGGTACTCTGTTAATAAATGAGTAGTACTAACACCAGTATGCTTTTTTCCACTCGCATGTAAACTGCAGCTTTCTTCAGCAAAGCATGCCGTCTGTTGTGTTTCGTTAAGTACAAAGATCACCTCTGTGCTGGCTTCACTCAGATTTATTTAAGCATATTGCCTGGAATGACAGATGATGATTGGATAAAACCACTATTGCTTTATGACTTTTACGTCTGAACATTTTGATGCGTTCATAAATTCCTGCAACGTTACCTTAGGTTGTGGGAAGAAATGCGCCTGATATGTGTTTGCTTTTGCATCTGTGTAACCTTTAGGGAGAAAATGATGATGAAAAATATGTTGTTACACTGCGTGGACTACATGCCACAGCTTCCTTTTATGCCTTGTTTGGCTTTATTTACCCAAAGACATGAGTTTATAAGTCAAAGCACGGATACTGATCCTTCATGTTTAGACTCAAGGTGGCGCCCTGTGGTTGTGCTGCCAGTAGCCATGGACCTGATGACTGTTAGTTGTAAAAGCCTCCTAATACGTTCCCCCTGCTTCCTGTGCTTCTCTTTGCGAAGGTGTTTGAAAACAGCAGCTTGCTTTGAGTCCTCTAGTCTGTTTTATATGTGGGAAAGAATGTCAATAATGTTTGCATACTGCTCTCAGACTGACATTGAAGCTCTTTTCGCGCATTTACCGATTTGTGTGGATGATATTTTGAAGTGCATGAAAAGAAATGGGCTACGTGGGTCAGTCAGCTCCTATATAATGATTTCAAAATGCAATAGCCTCATAAAATTGTATGTGCCAGACTTCCGGTTTTGTGGCTGCACCCCTGTATGTCTCCATTTGTTTTTGTTTTTTAACCTCTGTGCTGTAGAATAACAGAGCCGGGTGCATGTCATTGGAGTGTTTGGCTAGCATAGTTACATATAGAAAAGAGTTTGGTAGTTAGGTTGCAGTGCATAAGCAATGCTCTCTAACAGCAGGTTTACACTATCTTTGACTTGACAAATATTATATGTATAAATAATTAAAGGTTAATTAATTTCTGAATTACTAACTTTCATTATTTTTGTAATCTTCTTTTTGTTATATTTGTTGTGTTTCTGGGTAGAAATCACTTAGAAGATATGATGTGGAATAAATATCCAGAGATACAGGTGTCCCACCTATAGTGTGAAGCCAGTTGTGTATATAAAAAATGTGTTTTTGTCACTATGTAACATCAGCAACAGTAGGACTCAAGTTATGCCGTCTGTAGGCTTTAAGCTACTCTGTGGTGTTATGTACATCTGTATTCTGTGAAAGTGCCTTTGGAAATGTTTTAGAGGAACTTCAGACACTCTGCCCGGTCGCATATTAGATGCCGTGTTTTTGAGAAAATGCAGTGCAGGATGATGAAGTGTATAAGAAATTATGCCATTTTCCAAACAGTTATATGGCAGAATTGATCATAAATAAACAGCTTACTCAATGTGACATTGCACTTTTATGTATATAACTGTATATATGGCATGTAATATCATAACGTTTAGAGTTCATTCAAGGATTTCTTTCTAATAAAGGAAATAGTTTGTTGACCTTGTGTGTGTTTTTGTTTGTTTTATTGAGGAACTTTAACTGCAATTTATTCACTAGATTGGCTACACTTGTGTAGATGAAGTTGTAGTGCCCCTAAAAGACGTTTGAGCCAGAACAGTAAAATTACCAGTTTTGCAAAGAATAACATACACTGGTATTGTCAAGAATAATAAAAAATTGTGAAAGCTTTCATTAAATTAGAAAACAGACTCATTGCCTTCACTGTATGGGGACAAGGACCAGCTTAGTGTCATCTGTGTCCCACAGAGCCTCTTTCTCAGCCAGTGTGTGTCTATTCTTTGTTCTGTTTGGATAGCAGAAAAGTACAGTTTCAAGATTGTAGTCATTCAGATTTGCAACAGTCAAAAAGAGAGTAGATGATTGGTAAATAGATCGATGCTTACAAAGCACTTTTCTACTTTAATTGCACACTCAAAATGCATTTTTACTATAAGCCTCATTCACCCAATCTCGCATACATTCATAAAAGTGCTTTTTTCTAAACCTACGCACACTGTCTAACATTCATGCACACTCTGTTAGATGCATTGGGACAACAGCATCTTGCGAAAGGTTACTTCAATGTGCAGACTACAAGAGCCAGGGATCAAACCTCTAATCTTACAGCTAGTAAACGACCTGCACTACGTTCTGAGCAATAGATGGTCCGAATAAGATGAGAGGGCAGAAAGGCCACTCAAACAAACTAAGTAGTTAGCACATTTCCTCACAGCAAGAGTCCCGAGTCCTTGTTGTGAACACCGGCCAGAGCAGGGCCCCGATGTGTGGAGTTGCCTTTGTTTATTCCAGCCGTGACATGATCAGTTCATTCTCCTGTCACTGTGCCATTTAACACAGCTGCAGATGGTCCTCGGCACCACACTGCATTACAGAACGAGTTTCCCTTTTGTGTCAATAACAGCTGTCCTAATCTTAAATGAATGAGTTACATTTGCATAAATAAAGAAAGGAAAAGCAATAACACAACGTGTTTTTAATGTCAATCATAATTTTGAATAACTCTCAGGGATACAGATATGATGAGGATGAAAGCCATTGTTTTTACATTTAACAAAAAGCATTAAAAGATTGCAAACAATAATAAAGAAAGCAGACGCAGAACGATTGATGGAAAGTTTTCTTGTTGTCATCAAATCAGTCATTTGGGAAACTTCTTTTTTCTACATGTTATGTGCTGCTATGTGTGGGAGTTTTATTGGGATTTGGTGTTCCCCGGAGCTAGTTCCAACCTGTTTGTTCCACACTTTAGTGTGGGTCTTGAAGGCCATCTAGTTAAAACAGAGATTGTGTTGTTTTTAATACTATAGCACAACAGTTTTATTGTTATTGAGGAGAGACTAAATAAAAATAACATTTTACCTCAGCAATCCCAACCTTTCTCTCCCAAGTGTGAATGCTCTGCTTAAGCTTCTTGTATTTGTCTTTGACATGCATGTACTCAGTGATATCAGGAGCCTGATAATCTCTGAGCTGCCGTCTGAGTTTGTGGTTAAGGGCTTCAGCCGCTGAATGCTCCTGAGGAGAAAAAGATCAGGTATTAAAATTGGGGGTTTTAGATTCTTGAAGCTTTACTAATTTCGACAAACCTTCTCAGCATGCTCTAACTCCTCCTCTATTTTTGCCAGCATCTGCCTCACTTTGGCGATGTCATTGCTCAGCTCTGCCGACATCAATGTCACACTCTGCAGCTTTTCCTGCTCACACAGATATGACAGATAAGCTGAAAGTTATACTGGAAATAACGCCAAGAACACCATCTGACAAATTTCCAGCGAGTTACCTTGTGTGAGCTGAGAACACGCTGAACCTTCAAACTGTTGATCTGAAGTTCATCCAGGTTTTTGTCGGGTCTTGGCTCGTCATACTCCTGAAAAAATTCCTAGATGCAATACACAGAACTTTGCATTTACACACTAGCAAAATGAGCAAGTATTTAAATGGTTACAAACATGTAAGACACTGACAAACTTTGGCAGCAGAAAGCAGACTGTACATTGATTTTCTGTCCTCCCGTGTAACAGTCTAACCTACAACCTACACAATCTCTTGACAGCAACACATTTGCTTTCATTCTATACCTCATACTCAGCTTTCCCCATCTCTTTTTTCTGCTGCAGCTGTTGCAGGAGCTTCTTCTCGTGGAGCTTTAGTGCCTGATTCTTTACATTTAAGGTCTCCAGCTGGGTGACCTGTACATACGTTTGAACAGAACAAATGAGGTGAAAGGGAGGTTATAAACAGGACTGAAGAAAGCGGATAACTAACAAGGGTGAAAAAAAGTTCTTTACGCTGCTTGCTTCAATCTTTAGAAGCTAACCCATCTTAATAATCGTAGTAATTTTATTGACTTTATAGAAAATACTTGGGTAAAATTAATAATATGACTTTAAAAGGGTAAAAAGTCTCTGGCCTTTGGAAATGTGCATACCTCTAACCTGGAACAATCTATTCAAAAGCTGCTGTGCACATGTTGATGTCACTGTTTTGTTAAAAAGACAAGTTTTGTTACCTTTAACTTGTCTTCAATGTACTGGAGCACCTTTTCTGGCTCTTTCATTTCTAGCGTGTTGTCCTTCGTAGGTTTGACCAGTCTACGCTCAAAATCGTTCTTCGCCTTCCTGACATCAGCCAGACATAATTCTGCTTCCTTCATAGAGGCCTGAAAAGACGAGTATGTTTCATGAATAAATGTACCTGAGGTCAGTGTTTCTATATATTGTGTTTTATTTTTTGCATGTGTGTGTTGTAACCTTGTAGTTGTCCTTGTTTTTTTCAGATTTCAGTTTGAGTTTCTCCCGGTCCTGTTGTGTTTCTCTTACTTCTCTCTGTGCTACGCACAGTTTTTGTTCTAAAGTGAGCGGCTGAAAACGGTCCGATATGTTGGACCTGGACTTTCGCCTCCATCCAACGCCCTGAAGGCACAAAAACTCAAAATAGTATCCTATCATGTTTTGTTCAAGAAAGAGAATGCAAATGTTTTCAGTCAAACATTTATTGGCTGGAAAGAGTTGATGCAATAAGATCTGCTTTATTTTGGCCTGTCTCAACAGTAAATAAATTGACATTACCTAAAACTATAAAAACATTACACTGCAGCTGGGACAGTCATAAAAAGGACTTTGTTCTTCACTGTCTATCTAATTCACAAGTTCTGACAAATAAAGTGTGCTGTGTGTAGATATGTGTTGAGTGTGAAGCATCAATCTGCAGTCTTTACTTTTAGGAAGAGACCTATAATGGCAAATAAGGATTTGCATTCAAGGTTATTTAATAAACCTTTATGGTACTTACCCCAGCCCCCAGCTTCAAGCTTCGTGTTGCCCCGGCACCTTCTCCTCCAGCCTGGGATAGCAGGTCTTGTGGATCCAGGCGGCAAATGAAGCTTTCAAACATGTCATTCTCTGCCAGGAGGGCTGCATTGGAATGCCTCGGGGAAGAATGAATAAGAAAAGCAGGCAAAATAAATAAATTTTTTTAAAAAATGACTTAAAAATGCTCGGAGAAGTAACCGCTTACTTTAAGAAAAATTAATTGGAAAAAACATTATGTAGAGGGTGGAACAGCTCACCCTAAACCTTTCTAGCTAATGGTTAATAGACGAAAAGTTGTATTTCAGTAAGATTTAACTGAAATTACAGACCATTAGCAGAGCATTAGCAATTACTTTGGTGGGTTATACGGAATAAGTTAAATAAAGTCAGTTGTAGGGTTACAGCCGATAGGACGCAGTTATTTTTAGTTTAATAAATATGAACTGTCATTACTTTAGTTCTTCGATCCGTTTGTAAATGAGTTCCTTCTGTTCTTGCGTGACCTCGTCATTTTCCTCGATCAAGGAAAGCTCGTCCTCCATGGTTGCTAAGGTACACTGAACCTCTGGTTTCTATGGCCTAGTGTTGCATTCACGCACTTCTGGAAACGTTTTACTCAGTAAGTTTTGCAATGAGAGTAATAGAGTTTAAAACATGCTCTCGCCTTCTTGGGGATATATATTAGGTTTTTTGTTTGTTTGTTTGTGTAACCGAGCACTAATGTGTCGAATAAAATGTCAAAGAAATAAATGTATACTTTATTTATGCCGTGAGTTAAACATACATTTCCCCATTCATTTCCAGACAGGACTTACAAAACATTTTACTACTGGGGTGTCCAACTCCAGTCCTCGAGAGCTACCGTCCTGCAGCTTTTACATGCATCCTCACTCCAACACAGTTGAATCAAATGGTAGAATTACCTCTTCAGTATGCCATCAAATTTGGCAAAGGCCTGATAACAAGCCATTCATTTGATTGAGGTGTGTCGGAACAAGGATGAGTCTAAAAGCTGAAGGACGCTCTCGAGGACTGGAGTAGAACACCCCCGTTCTACTAATATCCCAGCTGCACATAAGACCATCAAACCAAAGGTGCGAATCAATGACTCTACAGCAGGGGTGTCGAACTCCAGGCCTCGACGGCCAGTGTCCTGCAGATTTTAGGTGTGTCCTTGATCAGACACAGCTGATTTAAATGGCTAAATGACCTCCTCAACATGTCTTGAAGTTCTCCAGAGGCCTGGTAATGAACTAATCAACCTAACCCTGACCCGGAATGATACCCAAAACCTGCAGGACACCGCCCCTCGAGGCCTGCAGTCACTGGTGCTAACAAATAACACTGCAAACCGTTACACCCAGTTTTAGAGACACTGCAATCAATTTACCTGTGGCCATGCACTGCAAACAATTCGGGTCTCACCGCTATGCATGACCTGCAACCTGGGTTTGTAAAGGGAAGTGGCACAATCAAATAAACGAAAAAACAAGAAGAGAGGTTAGTCCGCCTTTACAAGACTCACTCTCAGTCATTCATAACAGCCTTTGCAGCTGGACGGGCTAGCCGAAACCGAATTACAAATCAACCAAAAGAATAAAAAAGAAGGACAGCAGAGGTGCAGTCGATCTACAACTTAATTGATTAAAACTTGTGGTCACACGACCAATCTTCCTTTTCTTCTTCTGTATAGGGTTTATTGGCGGTTGGCAAACAGCAAAATGGTGCACCAACCGCCACCAACTGGTGTGGAGTGTGGACCGAAATGACAATAAATAAATAAATAAATAAAATATTCAAATTCTCCCGAACAAATGGGTCTGCCTTAAAAACTAAAATACAGCCTGATAACTTTCACTTATAGAGCTCACGCGAAATAAATCAAACAAGTCCAACTTCACTTTCATATCGTCCAGCTTTTTGATCAGTTGTCTCCTTTCCATATCATACTTCTGACAATGCAATAAAACATGTTCTATTGTTTCCTGTTCCCTACTGCAGTCACACTCCCCTGTACAGTGTTTACCTATTAAAATAATGTGCTATTTAAGCCAGTGTGTCCAAATCTCAGTCGAGATATAATCGTCTCCTCTCTCCTGTTTCGTCCTGCACTTCTCATTTCCCCCACTTTCCTTTGGATGTTGTACAACCATCGCCCTTTCCTCTCCTCCTCCCATTGCTTTTGCCACCTTTCCTTCATTTTGTATCGTATTCTGCTCTTGAGCTCCGTCCTACTCACACTAATAACCATATCTACCATCGGTCTCCTTGTTGCGACTTTTGCTGTCCTATCTGCCAGAGTGAGTTAATCGTGTCTGAAACTTCCCACAAAAGGCGCTCACCTCACCCCACACACCCACTACCTTGTCAAAGTTCCTGCCAGGTGACACTTGTTACATTTCTTTTTTACGATTGGTTTAGATTTAATGCAACCACATGAAAGTCCACTACTACTAATTTAAGATAAAATTCACTTTATTTTCAGATTTTATATCCTACGCAATCTCGCCCTCGTGACAATATCTATTTATTTTTGTATTTTTAAAAAACCTTGTAGCGATAACTTTCCTTCTGGGCAGGGCGACCATTATACAAACCTTTCTATGTTTAGGTTTCAGTTTCATTTCTCAGTAACCGAACGTAGCCGGAGATTTCGGTCAGAGCCATAACTGGGCTGCTTTGGAATTCTTAGCTAAAGGAACAAATGTCATTGCAGAATGACATCGACTCTGTCTAAATTCATCATCAAGACCTTATGCGACAACCAGGGGTGTTTGGAATTCGGGAAATTAGAAGATCAGCTCGCACAGAAATTCACGGTTGCGGATTCGATCCTACGCACTGTGCTCTTTGACGATGGTAAAATAGCCATTAAAGAAAGAAGAAAGACGGGAAGTAAAATAATCAGCCCGGATAGTCTGGTAGTGGCTAAAACCAATCTGCGGCTCTGTCAGAAAAAAGCTGGAGAGTGTCCGCAGTGCGATGGGTTACACCTGTGCAAGTATTTTGTTTGCGGAGAGTGCACGTTCGGGTAAGTTAACCTATTTATTTATTTATTTTTGTAGAAAGCTTTCCTATAATAACAAAGACTCGGTGATAGTTATCACCGCCATAAATGAGCAAAAAGGTGCTCAATCATTCACGATGGGGTTTTTCAACAAGCTACGCAGAGCGCAAAAGGGCTTTGCGTGGGTTTAAACTTTAAAGCCCAGCAAATAATCGCAGATTCAGGTTTGTTTTCCTGCTATTAGTCATCGCCTATGGTTGCAACGTATCGTCATCTTATTGGTGCTTCATAGTGATCTCATTCCCACAGCAATTAATCTTCAGTCTGAACACAGGTGTAAATAAAAACCCCACAGGTAAAAGTGCTTTTAGTACTCAGTGTAAATAGTGAATGATGATGGAATAAGCACCATGACCTTATAAGAACTGTTGTTTTGACTTTACATAAAATCCGAGCTGAATTTCATGAGACATTGTGGAGATCATCGTAATCAAAATGGTTAAATGTGACTTTAGTTTGGCCTGATGGAGACTGCGCTCCCTCGCATTCATTATGAATTTTACGAATTTGGGTCACTCCATTTTTTTCCTAAGGTTTGCACGATTGTAGTGCAACATTTTGACCAGAAGATGGCAGCAATTTAACAGTTCAATTACAGGACTTTGATCATTTTTTTTCCCAAATGCAAAACACCCATAATGTAAATAAATGATGGAGAGCCTACTGCTCACGCTGAAGGTCATGCCTTCATCTGGATACGACGTTTTTAGTGGCAGAAACGTTAAACTCATCCAAGTGACTTCTTTAGTCTCAGCTGAATGCAGATGTCCCCTACCTTATAAACAGGCCATTTGCATAATGACTTGAACTAGCACCACCGCATACATCTTTAAATGAGGTTTTTGACTATGTAAAATTATAGATACGTTGGCTCAGACACTAAACTCAAAAGCAATAATATTGAAAAATATTATAAGTAAAACAGAATATTTTAATTGGATGGCATGTTGTCATTTACAGAGGGAAGTGTAAGAATCCACACAGTGTGGCATTTCCATACAATGCAAAGCTTTTGAAGAAGTACAATCTTCATGATTTCACAGAGAAACAGCTGTTCCAGCTGTTACTGCAGAATGATCCTTATCTGCTTCCTGAGGTATGTTTTAGCAGTTTGCACTTGGAGGCAATTGTGGAGATTGTCTTGTTCTTCTGTTGAAAATATGTGAACTTCATCCTCCTTTATGATTCCTTTTAGATATGCTCACATTACAACAAGGGCAACGGTCAGCACGGCTCATGTAAATTCACCACCTCGTGCACAAAGCTCCATGTCTGCCAGCATTTTTTCCAGGGTGACTGCAAATTTGGCTCTTCGTGCAAAAGACAGCATGGCCTCGATGGACATGCGATGAAGCTCTTCCGAGGATTCAGTCGTGAGAATATTGAAAACCTTCACAAGATCTACAGAAATAAATGTATCATCGTGGGTCAACAGGAGAGGCAGGGTACTGGTGTCACTGGTAAAGCAGATTTTATAAAAACATGTCTTGCACAGATTTTTGTCAATCAGCAAGACCAGTAATCTACACAACATAAATGTGTCTCTTCTGTAGTGCTAACAGAGGTAAGAACCTCAACTAAGCAGCCTCAGCAGTCTTCCCAGCAGTCTTCCCACAGCAATCCTGGATCCCCAACCAGTTCTGTTTGTCCATCTAAGCCACCGAGCAATGCTGACATGAATGAAATCTGCCTTTATTTCATTCGCAGACATTGCGGGTTCAAAGGTAATGATCATGATGGTGGAAGCTGCCTTTCATATCTACAATACAGTAACATCTCAACACGTATAGCTCTATGTCCATATGTGCACTGCCTAATAAATGAATGCTGGTGTGTGTTTTTCATAGACAAGTGTGCACGTGTCCATTGGCACCTGCCCTACAGATGGCAGGTTTTAGACACTGATGGTGTAACCTGGAAGGACTTGCCCACTATGGAGGAAATTGAAAAGGCATACTGTGACCCAGCAAAAGAGACGAGCTGCATGGATCAACCTTCGTCCGGCTTAGGGCTTTTCAGATTTCTGTCTCTTCAAAGGTACATGAAGAAACAGAACACACAGATGTACTGTTTGTGGTGCATCTGCAGTAAAAGATTAAATGCATATTACTGTTATTCACATGAGCTCAGGTCTATAGATTTCCATTCATTTTGATGGAATTTACATCCCTCTTAGCTCTTCATCCCCTAGTGAGCAGTCGGTGGACTTCAGGACCATGAGATATGGAAACTCTCCAGTTCGTCGCCTGTCCACTGCCTCCTCTGTCTCAAAGCCCCCTCACTTCATTCTCACTACACAGTGGGTCTGGTACTGGAAGGACGATGGTGGGAAATGGTTGGAATATGGAAAGGTGACTTATTGTGATTCTTTCAATGAGTATGAAGATCTTGCCACCCTTGACAGAACTTTTCTAAGGGAACAGATGTATTACAGTTAGATATGCCAAGTAATTTAACCACTGGCATGTTTGGAATCTAAACTTTGGTGGATTGCTTGTGTTCTCTTTAGGGTGATGAGGAATCATCAGTGACTTCTGAAACCCTGGAGAATGTATACCTTGAAGACAGAGATACAGAGATTCCGTTCAGTGCTGGCAAACAGCAATATATTCTCCATTTCAAAGATGCGACAGGAGACCAGGCGATGTATCAGCAGAATATAAAATTCAAAACCAAGCGAGATGTCAGGAGGAGGCCTCGCTTTGTGTCTGCTCATGACGTGGAGGACAAGCTGAAGAGGTATTTTGACTTCCACTTGTGCACATTGATTCAGGCTATTCAAATATTTCTAGTCTTGGTTGGTTGCTGTCTTAAGTGAGTTTACCAACAAAATGAATACTGCATGTCTTCTCTGCAGTACGTCATCAAAGAGCTCCAGCTCCTCCACAGCTGAAAGCGTACCTTCGCACTGGGACAAAAATGCCATACCTGAGTTTGGATACAAGGTATCTTTCTTCTATTTAAAAAACAAAAACCCAACCCTGTGCTCAGTGTTACTAAACACTAAACCTATATTTCTACTTTTATTGTTAACTTGTATATTTGCACTTTATTCTTGTCTTCCAGCTAATACATCTCTCCCAATCTGCACCAGATTACAATCTGATTGAGTCTTTATTTAGAAGCACAATGCCGGTGAAAAAAATTAACAGCATCCAAAGGATCCAGAACCCGTCTCTGTGGAGAGTCTTCCAGTGGTAAATTACTGACAGAGATTTTTGGCTTTTTTAAAGAAATGATTTGAACTTTTGGAGGAACCAGGTGATAAAATAGTGAATCTACTCTACACAGTGTAGTTTACATTAGCAGCAACACAACAGAACTTGTTACTGTTAAAAAGTAGAAAAAAAAAACCGAAACTGTTTTGCAGGTGTTGGACTAAGTTCTGGCCTGGCACAGGAAATAGCTGAATCTTCACTAGCTATCTGATGGGGTTATTAGTTTTCTTTCCCCCTCATATCAAGTCTTTATGCTAAATTCAGCAGCTGGATGCAGACAGAAAGGTTTTACACACAAATCTCTGCAAGAAGGATGTTTCCACTTAAATGGCATACACTGTGTTCAGGCAGAAGGAGCAGATGAAGGGAAGGAACGGAGGAGACCCCTCAATGATGTATTTGTTCCACGGGACTGACGAGTCTCTGATAGAGGCCATCTGTGAGCAAAACTTTGACTGGAGGATGTGTGGGGTCCATGGCACAGCCTATGGCAAAGGTACAGCAAAGCAATCTTTGCATCACTTTTTGTAGTATAATGGACACATTGTAGCTAAAATTTGATACTGGAAAGCCATAAAAGGAATGCATCTTCCTCAAAATGAACACCAGAAAACTCTTGAGTACTAAATCACTAGCATTTTTTTCTTTGAACTATATTAACAATAACTTTTTTTTTATTTTAGGGAGCTACTTTGCCAAAGATGCATCTTACTCTGACAGATACGCCAGTGTCAAAGCAACTCCAAACAAGATTATGTTTGTTGCCCTGGTCCTGGTAGGGGACTACACCAAGGGGAGAAGCACGTACGTTCGCCCGCCGCTAAAATCAAATGGAAGAACGTTCTACGATAGTTGCGTTGACTCTGAGAACAAACCCAGCATTTACGTTGTCTTTGAAAAGCAGCAGATTTACCCAGAATACATTATCAACTACTCATAAGTCGCAGTTTGCCTTTCCTTTTTCAGACTAGTGAAACTCTCTGGATGGATGTTCTTTAGTTTCGTGGTGTATTTGAAAGTTTAGAATTTTGCAAATGTAGAAAAATGATTAAAATAATTTAATAGTTAACAAAGATAATGACAAAATTAAAAAATGCAATTAATGAACACTCCACAGGCTATCATTTTACATTTTGATTATTCAGAGCTCATATGTATAAACAGCCTTTAATTTTAAATGTAGCTTCTTATTCCTGTGACATGCTCAGTGACTTCTCATGTCTGTTTGAAATGCAGTGTCATGTAAGTTTTTTTTCAATTCTGTAACCAAAAGAGACAAAATTCAGCCAGTTTCTGAAAGAAGAGAAGACCAGGTTTATAAATGCTTGGTGTGCCTCAGAAGCACAAAGCACTCACAAAGTACTGTCGTCTGACCACAGAGAGAAAAATCAGCTCTGCTATATTTAACATGTGCGCTTCACATTACCGCAACTCCTCAACTATTTTGGGCTTAAGAAAATTCAAATTGTTCCTAAAAGATGACAATTTAGTAATTTTACAGCAATTATAAAAATTTTAAAAAAAGCCCAGGCTGCCTGCATGATACTTTCTTATTGCAGTCCAATAAGTCGCAATCATTGGCCTTGTGAAATTGTGGTGATTTCTCCAAATCTTTTAATCATAATGTGTCAGAAGTTGAGAGTGAGAAAGGTTACTATAGAACTACCAAACTATTTGATTATAGTATGCAGTATTTTCAGTATTATAATATTATCTTGAGAAGGGACTTCGAGTTGAACTTGAAATCATTGTAATGGTTTTTCTTGAAATGTATCAGAAAATCCTTATTTTGCACTTGAAACTGTACGCATTTCCTTTTCCCTCACAAAATCTCTGCTTTCATGCTTGAAGTATATCCTTAAGCAGAAACGCTTAGCAAAGTACATCAGTGCAAGCCTTAGCAAGGACAACAGATGATCTGGTGTCAAGATACAGAACAAAATTGGATTGTTTGTTTTGTTGCAAAATAAACACATTGCAAAACTGAAAAAAGGAGTAACGTTAGCACTTTGTTTATATATTTGCATCAACAACAAGCTGCATTTCACCCATTTCATATGTAAATCAATTAAACAGATTGTTTTGTTTCCTAGAAAGATTTGAATGAATCATCAATAAAACACTTTTAGATCATTTATATTGAGGCCTAATAACATTTCAGCACTGCAGTTTCTCAAGTAATGGCCAAAAATCTAAATTGACAGATTGGATATGAGTATAGGAAACTGATGTTCCAATAAGGTGCAATGAAAATAATAATAATGAATGAGTTCATCAACACAGGTAATGAAAGGATTCTAATGTTTTTTCCCACAGAGAAAAAGTGCAGTGAGTGTTTCATATCCTGAGACATGTAACAGGGACAAGGGTCATCAGGAACAAAACAACAAAGATTTTCTTTCCTATTATAAAACCATTTACTTCACCCTCAAATAGCAGCTTTGGAGGCATAGAGTTACGACCACTTCATGCTCCATCAAAGATTTCAGTGTATCAGTAACAAAAAACACGACTTTTTTGCCAAAAATATGTCATTATTTTGTAAATTCGACTCACTTAAAGTGGCAAAGTGTGACTGTGAGAAGTGCCATTCAGAGTTGTGTTGTAGCACACTCACAAATGAATAACCCGCATGGTGCACCCATCAGCAGGGAGTTCAAAAAGACCTAAACTGTATCCAAAAGAGAGAGGCTGGTAAAGAGCACTTGGATCAACAGCACTTTTGTGCCACTGTGTTTATCATTACAGCGGCAATATTATCATTATCATCAACTTTTCAGATCACTGTGTGGGCTGAATGATTGAGGTATGTAGAATGTCAGTACCTATGGAAATATTTTGCTGTAAATCAAAGGAAAGGCATGATACACGAAGACCCTGAGCCTCAGGTTGGTGTCTAATCATCTGATGGAGAAATGAATGGACCATCTCTTTGGTCCCTTCTTGTGATTTTCACATAAATGCCATTCTTAGGTCCAAGAGTGCTTGACGACTTCAACTCAAGAGGAACCTGAAGACAGAAGAAGTGCATCTTTACATATTTATGTAAACAGCAAATATGAAGGCAGCTAACAAATTATGAGTGAATTGTTTGAAAGTTACGGCACTTTCTAATGTCCAATCATCTCCTCTATGATCATTATTACTGACTGTCCAAGTATTTACATTGCATACACATTTTAGTACAATAAATAAATGAATACCTTGGTCTCAGAGCAGGCCACAATGCTGAAGCTTTGGAACAGGCGCACTAAAGCCATTTTGATTTCAAGCTGGGCGAGCCTCATTCCCACACAGTTACGAGGGCCGGCCCCAAACGGCAGGTATACGAATGGGTGTCGACTGGCCTTGGCCTCTGGTGTAAACCTGGGGATAATCCACAGGTTAGGTGCTTTGGGGGAGAATTAAAGGCAGTGCCAATGCAAAATCATCCTGTCAGTTATGTGTTTCATTTTAGAGATGATTTTAATTTGGAAAAAGCAAGACCAGGCAACTTTTTCAACGTGAAGCTCAAAACTCAAAGGACAGAGTCAAACTGAACAAGTAAGTTTCTGGCAACAGGCTTAAGGTTTTTTTGAAACTGTTTAAAACAGCAGCTGGCCTTTTAGAGGCATCAGTCTTATAGAAAGGTATATCTGTGTGTTATCGTATAGCATGAAGAGGCATTGTGTGTTTTCTTTAATGCTACTTAATCATCAGAAAATAAACTGGGACATGAAATTAAAGCTTGTGGTTCACCACACGGATAATGAACGGTTGCCCATGGTGACTGAAAAGGATCTTTCTAATATATCCAGAGGCCAACACAGAGGTTGTATACAAAAAGGGAATATCTTTCAATGTCCACAGAAAAATTATGGAGATTCTCAGTTGTGGTGAGCACAGTGTGCTGTGGTCTGCTGGGAGGCAGCAGATTATTGCAATGGCAGATAGTGATTATTTTACTGCATTAAAATGTATAATTGGTACACTGTACTTTGATCAGAGACGTGGCACACAGCCATGTCATTTGAGCGCTGCACATGGTGTACTTTCACCAGACAGATGGATGAACAACACCTTAGGTTAATATTTGTCTTGTATTAATGTTATTACATCAACAATTGACTGACTTCAAAGTTAGTTACAAGTGTTGATATTTTTAAACTTGAATATGCTCTGTTTGTTATTTATTAGAAGTAGACTGAAGCACCTCTCTGGGATGAACTCCTCAGGCTCTGGCCAATGTTCCGGGTCATAATGGAGGAAGCCTGCAGGGATCTCCACTGTTATTCCTTTAGGAAGGAACTGGCCATTCACTACACAGTCATGGTCAACTTCTCGTGCAAACCTTAATGGGACAAAATACAGAATTAACGTAATACAATTAAACTATACTAAAAAGAAAATCGTTATAATAGCTTTTATTTTTAAAGTCAAAAAATCTTCCACAGGACTCTGCAGTCCAGTGAAAAACTACATACTTCATGAGTTAAGAGGGTAATTAGCAGCTAGGTGCAGTTAATCAAATGCATTTTATTGATTGATCAATAATTTGACCTCTATAAAAGATATAAAACGGTTCGTGTCAACTCAGTGCCAAGGAGAAAAAGTATCAGTTTAGAGAAGCAATTGTTCCTGTTCATCAATACCGGCATGGTCAGAAATCAACTTCAGGTCTGTTGTTCTATAGTGAGCGAGATTATTCACAACTGGAATAATTCAAGACAGTCGTTAATCTTACCCAAGCAATGAGAAAGACTGAAGCAACATTGAGAGACGAGTGGGCAAATTTCTCCACACTGCTGTGAGACTGATAAAGTTATACTGAAAACCATTACTTCAAGTTATTCCTTATACATCTGGTTCTACGAGCTACTGTATCATGGGGTCGATTTCCTTTATCACAGGACAGCAAAGAGCCTGAAAACTTTCTTTTACATAAAGTAATGGAGATGATAAGCAACAATATTCAGACAGATAGTGACGTTTAAATAATGCTCAGCTAGTAATAAGGGGCCCAAAGTGTGCCTGGAAAATATCCCCCCACACCATTACATCCCCAACAGCCTGAACTGTTGATACAAGGCAGGATGACTGCATGCTTTAATGCTGTGCAAGAAATACAACACCATCCAAATGTCCAACTGGTGAGAGCAGGCAATATTTTTCTAATCTTCTGTCATTTTGGTGAGCCCATGTGACCTTCAGCCTCACTTCCCTGTTCTTAGGTTACAGGAGAGGCAACTCAAATATCTCCTCCTGTGAAACTGCCTGCTTCGAGATTCAATGTTCTGTGCAGTCAGAGATGCATACCTCAACTGTAGTGAGCGGTTATTTGAATTACTCTTTCCTTCTATCAGCTCAAAGCAGCCTGGATATTCTCCTCAGACTTCTGGCATCAACATTTTTACCCAGAGAACTGCTGCTAACTGGATATCGTTTCTTTATAGGATCATTAAACCCCAGGAATGGTGCACAAAGATCCCAGTAGATCAGCAGTGGTTCATTTATTTAGATTGCCAAAATTACTTCACGTTTCAGTGTGTACGTGTGCAACAGTGTAAAAGAAAGACAGCTAAAGTTTTAAGTGGATTGCAACTTGTTACATTACTTTTAGGCTACATGTAACAACAGTTAACAAACATTTAATCCCTGTAACAGCTGAAGCTGCAAGATTCCAAATAATAGATTGAAATATCTGCATCGCTTCTTTTTTTAACATCTGCATCACCACCTTAAATCTGGCGGTCAGCGTTTGGTGGGCCATGGCACCATTCTTCCTTCCCCAATGGGCCCAACCTACTCTTGCAAAGCAGTCCAAGAGAAGCAGTGACATGTACATTTTATCTCCTCGTTGTATGGTATACATGTATGATTAAATATGGCCTATCCTCCAAAGTGCTATAAAAAAAATACCACCCTGTTTCCACTTAACATCCTTCTTTACCTGAATCCAGGAGGGTAGAGGCGTAATGCTTCACATACAACCATGTCCAAATACTTCAGCTCCTGGACATTTGTGTAATCAGGTGATTCCTTCAACAACAGTAGCATGAATATAATCGATAACTGTCCATAATAACATGCAAAAAAACCCAAAACAAAACAAAGCACCACAACGTAAAACACTCACATGTCTAGTGTAGAAGTCATCCACCTCTTTCTGTACTCTGAGTTGACATTCAGGGTGGAGGGCCAAGAGGTAGCAGGTGAACGCCAGAGTGTTGCTACTGGTTTCATAGCCTGCCAGGAGGAAGACGAAAGCCTGACCAACAATCTCATCCTCAGTCATCATCTTTTTCTGTGGACGCCTGACAGACTGCTCCTGTGAATGAGGAGGGTCATTTTCCTGAACCGAGCCCGAAGGCTGGGTCTCCTGGTTCCTGTGTTCGATCTCCTCGGGGTCATTTGATGTGTCAAAGTGGTCCAACGACACAATCTCTTTGGTGGTTTGAGCATCTAACATCAGCTGAAGGAAGTCTCTACGCCTCTACATGTAAAAAGAAACAAAAGAAAACAGTAAATATTTATTTCAAACAAATGATGAAGGGAGACGGCTCGTTTTAGACACAGAGTGTTAACTGTCTGAGATTCACCTCCTCAGGAGGCTGCTCCTCTCGCTGTTTGATGATCTTCTGAATGCTGTTAATGAAGAAATTATTCATCTTATCTCGTCTTTCATTGGGGAGAAGTTTTGCCATGGGAGCGGCAAGAAAAGGAAAAGCCACTGAAGACAGTAAGACACAAATTCGCAGATGTAATTATGAATTATGAAATGCCATAAAAAAAACTTTGCATTAAGAATTCCCGATAACACTGTGGTAACGTCGAAATCTAAACAACATTTCTAAACAATGCGTTAATTAATATATCTTATTGTCTTCCGCTATAAATCTTCTAATTACTTAGAAATGATAAAAATTATTTACAATTCCAAAAACTTCTTTTTAGGATTGGTCTAAAACGATGTACAATTTTTCACATTCCTAAATATATTTATCTTCCTCTTTTAATGTCCTAAATAAATATCTTAAATTCAAGTAATAATGAAGTAATATTGATGACTAACTGAAAAATAACAAAATGGGCCTGAAGAAGGAAAAATTGAAGAACATCTGAGCGTGGTGGACAAACGGGTCGTCTGGGTTGTTCTGCGAGTCCACCTGAGTTGCAAATGCCACACTGGCAATAACATCCATGGTAAAGTAGCCAAAGCACCTGCAGGAAAACATATACCAAAAATTAATTAATTAAAGAGAAGATTGAAAATTTAAAATAAAAATGATTCTTTCAGTATTTGTTTTTTATTGTTTTTGTACTTACTTGTGGATGTCAAAGGCCTGTGCTGACTCAGCGTGGCCGTTTAAATTCTTCATCAGGGCATCGATGGCTATGTTGATGAAAGGAACCATCTATACTCAAAAAGATTAATCATGAGAGACTCAAACCAGTCCTGCCAAAACCCTTTAGTGAGTCATTACATCACAAAATAGAAAATTCAAATACTTTGCAATGCATTTTCTAACAAGTAATAGAAATGTTAATGTCTCACTTCTTTCAGTTTGGCAGAGCTGAAGGATGGGGTCAAGATGCTCCGTACTCGCTTCCATTGTTCATTCCTCAGCATGAGTAGACAGTCAGTCATGGGCTTGGTGGCAAAACGAAAAGCCTGCAAAAATGAGACAAGAGCACAAACGCAAAAATCCATTACAGCCCATGAAGTAAGTTCGTGTGGGAATAATTGCTGATCACACATCGTGCATCTAAACGCTCCGTCTAATGTCCTCACCATTCTATTAGGGAAGCTACTGAAGTCCTTGACCATCAACTGTCTGAGCATATCAGGATCTGCTATTATCACAACTGGTCTGCGCCCCAAATAATACCTGAAATATGCCGATGTATACAATATGAGTGAGATACCAGCCAAAACAAACAAAACCTTTGATGCTAAGTAAAGTATTCGTGTCATTTCAGAATGCAGAAAAATTAAAATGTTCAGATCATCATTGTATCTACTTTTTCAACCTTGACGTACTATTGCAATGTAATATAAACGTTCCTGTGCAAATGGTGTGTGCACAGAAATAAAAAATAAACAGCTATTAATCTAAATCCAAGGTAATGAGTCCATTTTTGTGCATCCTTTATCAGCAGGTGTCTCTGTTTCTGTGGGAGGAAAACTCCTAGAATTACATAGAAAGCAAATGCAGTAGCACCAGCTATTATTAGTTTCTGTGTCAATGCTGTTATAAAATAATAATCCAGGTTTACTGATCTCTTTGCAAATGTTCAGTTTGCTATTTTTCCACAATAGTAATTTCAGTAGATGCTGATTTTTTTTTTTACTTACCCACAAACTCTACCATGTGTTTTTATTACATAACTCATAGGTTTGAAAAAACCCTGAAAAGAAAGTGGAAAACAAAAACATCAGACTAAAAATATCCACATTATTTACTGTTTGTATAACTGAAATCACAGAAAAGGTTAACAGCACATCGGCTTATCACAGCCATGACCTTATAAGTGATCAATTTTTAAAACATAATGGTCAACTGACAACCTTATAAAAACTGAAAATAAAAAGTTTAAACAGGAGCTTAATCCCAGTTTAATGGAACAAATGTTGCATATTATTCAGCTGTATTTTTACTTCACTGCATCAGAATATTTTTAAAAATGACAATAGATGTAGATTGCAACCTTTAAACCAGCGGTCTCCAACCTTTTTTGTGCCACGGACCGGTTTATGCCCGACAATATTTTCACGGACCGGCCTTTAAGGTGTCGCAGATAAATACAACTAAATAAAACTAGTGCCGGTACTGAAAAATAGAAGATTTATTCATAACACACATGAAAAGACCCAGGAAAACAGAGTTAACGATAAAAACGATAACAAAATAACACTGAAAACCGATAAAAACCCTGAAAACCACACATTTCACACCTGAGCCTCAACTCTCGCGGCCCGGTACCAAACGACTCACGGACCGGTACCAGTCCGAGGCCCGGGGGTTGGGGACCGCTGCTTTAAACCATCCCAGTTTGACACAAAATGAAGCAGATGTTGAAGGTAACTCTGGTCTTCCTTTGTTACACTGTATCTTACCTGCTGAAACATAAATAAGTTGCCAAAGAAAGGCACTGGCTTTGGATGTTTGATGCCATATCGTGAGAGGACTGAGAAGGGACGGACTGAATACCTACAGGCAAAAGTGCAGAAATGTGATGATGTGTTGTGAATGAAAGGATTAAACATCAAGCTCATTAAAGAACACAGATACAACATTCAGTTAAATGCTATCCACACCATCCTTATAGTCCTTTGGTCTACATATTGTTAACTTAGGACCATACATTTTTTTTCTAATAATGCATTTCCTGTACACATCCTCAGTGATTCAAAGAGTTTAACAAAAGCATTGTATTACATTATTAAAGAATTACACCTATTTGTATACATGCTCTTCCATTTTCCAAGACTCAAAAAATAATTGGACAAACTAACATAATTAAATGTACAATATTGTTAGTCCAGAACTCATTGCCATCACTAGATGGATTTCTTCCCTTGAGATGTTCTGCAAGGGATTTACTGTAGCTGCCCTCGGTCGCTGCTTGTTTTGGAGTATTACTGCCTTTGGTTTTGTATTTAATAACTGAAAAACATGATCTAATGGGTTGAAATCAGATAACTAACTTGAATCGCCTTTGATCTGCCCTCTCCTGAAGTTTTTTTTATTCTCTTAGATAGTTTTACTTTATTTTTTTATCCTAATGATACCTTCTTTACCTATTGAGAGTTCATGTGAACAGCGACCAAAATGTATGTTCAATAATTAACTCCTTTTAAGTGCTTAGTTTGCCATGAAATAATGTGGGAACAGGCCTCCCCTGCCTATCAGTCAATTGTCCAATTACCTTTGAGTCTATGAAAATGTGGATATACATAATATGTAACATATAGTATATATTGCTGTATTTTCACAGCAGAACAATATGTCACAAATAAACATACTAAGGTTTTATTTCCAGCTAAGTGTGGTGGAGTACAGAGAAAACTGACATAAAATGTGTCATTATCCAAAAACTGTCCGACTGTCCATCATAAATAAACAAATACTGAACATTTGTTCACTCACCAGTAAAGGAGACCGAGGAAAATGAGGAAGAGGCTGAGTGTCACAGATATTCTGCTGACCTCAATGTTGAACATGTTTAAAAAGTCACCTGCAGCCTGCATGTTGGAAAATCTTGTTTTCTATCCTCAGACTGAGATGAAAGTTCCTGCGCAGAAAAACAAGAAAAAGGGTTTAAGTTAACAAAAAGAACTAGATTGAATATAATGCACGTACAAAAACAGGAAGCCATAAAAATACTTGCAAAACAGGTCTTTAAAACAAAAGAATTATATACCCCCTTCTTAAATCTTTTTGCCTACAGTGTATTTACCAACTGAAGTAAAGTTATAAGACATAAAAACAGACAGAAACGTCGGAAATCACCACAGCAGAGAAACCAGAAGTGTTATATAGCAAGGTAAAAGTCATTTTATATAAATACTTTAGATTAGTGATGTGACATTCTGTATCGAGGCTTCAAAGCTTGTGTCGAGTAATGGAGGGGGCGTTTCCGCGACGCACGTATCGAGGCTTGCTTCATTTATGGGAGGAGCTGAAAATGATGACGTCCGAAGCCTCGCTGCCCGGCTGTACCACGTGACTGGTTCATGAAGCGGTTCGAACTTTGCCGCGAGATATGACAGCGATATAAACCCCTCAGACTTCATTCAAAATGTGGGTGTTTGATGGAGAGTTGCGTTAGTGAGAGTTTGGAGACAGTTTGGAGGTTTATGAGAGTGAGGAGAGAAAGTCAGGAGAGAATGGAGCCAGCTAAGAAGAGGAGGATGTCCTCCCCTGTGTGGGAACATTTTGATTTTATTCCTCCCAACAAGGTATGTAAATTTCTACAGAAGATGTATTTTCATAATACTGATGGTGCAATACAATTTATGTTAAGCTGTCTTTACTTTTGTACAAGGTGAAGTGTTTGCTATGTGCCAGGGAGCTGGGATATAACAACAACACCTCATCCATGCTTAGGCACTACAGAGCTTTGCATGAGAATAAGGGGAACACCGATTGTGGAGCAAGACCAGGTGAGCCATCAAATGCCATGATAATATAGCATGCAGTAATGTTACTAAATGATATAACAATATTATACAACTGTAATAAGTTACGTGTGTGATATTTATATTTGTGCTTTGTCTTTATTGTCTTTCCTCAGGAGAACAATCTCAAATAGATGAAGACCTGGTTAGCATGGTGATTGAGGACTCCCAGCCATTTAGCATTGTGGAGGACAAAGGATTAAAAGATTTGTTAAATCATTAAATCCTAGCTATGTTCTCCCCACTAAAAAGGTCATAAAAGCAGTGAAAATTTAGTTTTTACAGAATAAAATGTGAACAGGCAGTGTGTAGCTGTCCATACCTCAACGTTACAAAAGCACAACCACTGTCCACACCCCAACCACACCTCACCTCACAGTAAATGATCATTTCCATTTTAAGCATTTCCAAATGATCATTTTCCATACTGCCAGTATAAATATACACAGTATACTGCATCACTACAATATATTTTAAAGTTCTTTTATTGGTTTTTAAATGTCTTAATGGTCTTGGGCCTTCTTATCTCTCAGATCTGCTTTTACCATATGAACCCTCGCGGACCCTGAGGTCCTCTGGTACTGGCCTTTTGATTGTCCCTAAAGTCAGGACACATACTCACGGAGAGGCAGCTTTTCAGTGGTATGGTCCTCGTCTGTGGAACAGCCTGCCGGAGGAGCTCAGGGCCGCAGAGAACGTACATGTTTTTAAGAACAGGCTCAAGACCCACCTTTTTAATTTAGCTTTTACTTAGCGTTTATTTATTTTATGCTTATTTATTCTATCCTGTTATTCTATTATTAATTTAGGCTTTACCTAATATTTATTGATTTTATTCTTATTCATTTTTTATCTTCTTACTCTATTTATATTTATATTGTATCCCATTCTTATTTATTTTATCTTTTTATTCTGTATATACTCTTATTAGGTCATATCTCCAGTGTTTCCTCGGAGGGGGCTCTCTGCACCGGGTTGTGATCGACCGTGGCTGCTGGGGCTCTGTGGGTCCTCTCAGCCTGGCTGGGGGGCTTCTTTGCCTCCCTCCTGCTGTGTGCCCAGCCTGGAGGCTGCGGTCTGTGACCGGCTCCCGGTGCAGACGGCTCCCTGTGATAGTGTTTCCTCACCTGGCTCATGTGTGCCCAGCCCAATTTTACTCTTTAAGTGTGTGTGTGTGTGTGTGTGATCGTTTATGTTAATGAAAGTGTGGGGAGTGAGTTGGAGGGCGGGGGAGGCTGCTTTTAACCATGTAAAGCACTTTTCATACATCTTTGTATGAAAAGTGCTTTATAAATAAAGTTTGATTGATTGATTGATACATGTTTTACACACTCCTTTTGTTGTTGACATTTACGCGCTGTGTGCAAAAGGCCACACTCTTCAAATTCATGCCAACTAATATTTTTACGTCCAGTACATGTCCTACTGGAGCAAATGAAGCTTCAAGACGCTTTGCGCTGGGGTGAACCAATTGGATGAAAAGCTTCAGTGCTTCATGAAGCTTCATGTGCCCATCACTAGTTTAGCTGGATCTGTAGGGACCACTGACCACTGAACAAGTGAAACCTAACCTACCCTTTTTCTCTCATTTACTAACCGTCCTTACCTGTGGCGCACAACTCATTTACTCATGTGATGCTAGGTTAGCTTGCTGATGAAATAAAGGTTTCCATCTAACTAATATCACTAACATGTTTCTATTACTTGTGTCTTTATAATATTAACACCGCAACATTCAGCATACGGGAAACACACACTCACCTCACCTTCTTCGTCCTTCGCCCAGGTTTTGTAAATATAATAGTCACGTCTTCCTCTATTTGACAACAGCTCGTCACTGCACAGGAAGCTGTGTCGTCTACTGCCCCCATCTGCACCGGAGTGGAAAGGCTCTTCTTGCGTTTCCCAGAGAGACATTTGTGACATTGTTATATTAAACATGCCCAATTATTTCGTACAGAAGCACAAGATGATAATACCAAACATAACATTGTTACTTTTACAGAATATATTTAAAATATTCAATGATTTTTTTTTCTGGATGGTACTGGACAGAGTCTTTTCCTGTCGTTTCTGGGTATTTGGTACAGATAGATCACCATATACAGAATGTGGGTTTAATTTCAGGTAACAGCAAATATAGCGTAATTCTCCTTTAGACTGGGACACAGAGGATTTTCATTTCTTGTGTGTTCTGGTGGTTTAACTCAACTGGTGTCAGATCAAGTACACTGACACTGACCATTAAAATTTAAGGATAAACCATTGATTTGCAACGTTTGCACAAAAAGTAGATGAAGCAGGTGAATAACAGTCGGGATTTAATGTGGCAAAATTAACATGTGCCTCCTTTACATATGCTCCATCTTTTTGCCAAATATCATGGAATGGAGCCATTTGATTATTTGTGCTATTTTGCTGACAGACAGCACTGAAAACCTCAAAATCAGCACTGAAATCATAAGGCTGCTGGTCACAATTCCTCACACTGTTTGAAAGAGACAGTGAGTGATTCATCGGATCAACTTTCCTGTGAAAAATGATTCATTCAATGTTTTAAACAACAAGCGCATAAAAACTGCAATAAAGTGTCTATTTATCCATGTGCATCAATACAGAAAATCTTCTTGTGAAATATTTTCTCATGTGGCATTCCTTCCATTTGATATGTAAATTGTCAAACTGTTCCAGTCACAAAATTACAGTTAATATTTTCTAAAACATTTGAATGAATCTGCAGTAAATCCCTTATTATATTTAGTACATTCACATCTAAAATATTTCAATGTTGTGATTTTTCAAGCATCTCCCAAGTACTGGATTAACTTGAACTAGGACAGTTGAACTTATTTTGCAGTCTGGTGAAAATGATCCAGTCATTCGATAGAGAAGTCAGCAGACAATCTCACTTGCTCCTTCTGGAAATTTTCACACAAACACCATTTTTAGGACCAAGAGTGCTTAACGACTTCAACTCAAGAGGAACCTGAAAAAAAGAGTGCCCTCGATAAAACAAATCTTTTTTCAGGACTGGCTGTTAATGAACATTCATGAGATTTGCTGAGCAGCTCTAAGTCAAACATACCTCAGTCTTAGAGCAGGCAGTGATGTTGAAGTTGTGGAACAAATGCATTAAAGCCAGTTTGATTTCAAGCTGGGCGAGCTTCATTCCCACACAGTTACGGGGGCCAGCCCCAAATGGTAGGTATACGAATGGATGTCGACTGGCCTTGGCCTCTGGTGTAAACCTGGGGATCAACAGCAAGTTCTTGTTTTTTAAGTTGAATGAAAAGCATTGGAAACTAAAAGACCACATTCTTAATGAGACAAATTTCTCTTGCTACTTTATACAATGGCATAAAACTACTGTTATCTTGAACTGAGATATTTAACTACATGAAAAATATTACATGATATAGTTCTGTTCATAGTTTTTATGGAAAGAATTTCTAGGCATAGCCATGTGACAGAAAGTTCCCATTTTGGTGACCTTTGAATCTCATCTTTGCTATTTGCAGGTGATGTGGGTCTCTTGGCTTCATCTGGTGGTTGTCTCCAGCACTCACTGGAGCGGTTTCCAGCTGAGTATGAAGCGGCAAGAACGAGAATCACAACTCCAAGGTGGAGGCCATGGTTCTTAGCTGAAAAGGGTGGAGTGCCTACTCTTTTCAGGGACGAGTTGCTACCCCAAGTGCAGAGGTTTAAGTATCTGAGGGTCTTATGAAGACCCTCAGAAGTGAGGGAAAAATGGAGTGGGAAATTGACAGACAGATTGGGGCCACTGCTGAAGAGATGTGGAGGCTGCATTGGTTTGTTGTGGTAAAGAAAGAGCAGAGCATGAAAGCAAAACTCTCAATCCAAGTCCAGCAACTCCAAGTCCAGCAACTGGTCTCTTCAGTTTCCAGACTGTTGTTAAAAAGAGGAGATACTACTAACTACTGACACTGCAATGTGCCAACTCCCAACAAATTCAAAATCAAGCTATATCTCAGTTTAAATGTTCTATTTTGAATAAATTGTGGGTTTATAAGATTTGTAAATAAATGCATTGTTTTTATTTATATTTTACACTGTGTCCCAACTTTTTGAATTGAGATTGTATTTGTGGGTTGCAGATGTGATAATTTCACTACACAAAAGTGATTACCACACCCAAAAAATGTATTTGTACCACTGTACAGAAAAATATTTAATGTGTTGTTAATATACAGCTGAAATCATGTTAATAAGTCAACATTTGACTGGCGTCATAAGTCAGTCTTTTTACTCGTTTCAGACAGAACTGAAGCACCTCTCAGGAATGAACTTCTCAGGCTCGGGCCAGTGTTCTGGGTCATAATGGAGGAAGCCTGCAGGGATCTCCAGTTTTGCTCCTTTAGGAAGTTGCTGACCATTCACCACACAGTCATGATCTATTTCTCGTGCAAACCTTAGTGGGAAAATTTCAAAATTACACAGTTACAGAATGGTCACACACAGTATCGACAGAAGAGCTGTAACTTTATTTACTTTATTTATTTACTTTATTACGTTATGTAATTCCCTGACCACTGCCACCCCCAGAGAAACTAAAGGGGGAAAAACAGTGAAAATAAATTTAACACCATTATCAAAACTGTTATTTCCTTAATTTATTTGGACTTTTAAGCTCTATTGCTTTTTGCTGTCAGTTATAGTTGCCATTGCCTCTCTTGCCTCCCCTGCTCTCTATTTCTGTACATAGCTCCATTCAAAGAAGAAGAGTTTAAGCGTAATGATAGCTACAAAAGCATTTTTAATGCATCTGGATCCAAATGTGAACAGAGCTTAACCCAGATGATGATGATGATGATGATGATGATGATAATAATAATAATAATAATAATAATAATAATAATAATAATAATAATAATAATAAGAAGAAGAAGAAGAAGAAGAAGAAGAAGAAGAAGAAGAAGAAGAAGAAGAAGAAGAAGAAGAAGAAGAAGAAGAAGAAGAAGAAGAAGAAGAAGAAGAAGAAGAAGAAGAAGAAGGGTTTTCCATATGATAGCATTATGGCTATACCCCATGACAAGCTAATTAAGGGACAATGCTGAAAATCTTCCTATATCACAGGGTACCAAAGCTACCCCACTGTAGCCCCAATTGACATCCTTCTTTACCTGAATCCAGGAGGGTAGAGGCGTAATGCTTCACATATAACCATGTCCAAATACTTCAGCTCCTGGACATTTGTGTAATCAGGTGAGTCCTACAAAGCAAACAGCATGACAATCAATGACTGTCCACAACTGCATGAATCAAAATAGATCAGAACCAACTGTAAAACACTCACATGTCTAGTGTAGAAATCATCCACCTCTTTCTGTACTTTGAGTTGACATTCAGGGTGGAGGGCCAAGAGGTAGCAGGTGAACGCCAGAGTGCTGCTACTGGTTTCATAGCCTGCCAGGAGGAAGATGAAAGCCTGACCAACAATCTCATCCTCAGTCATCATCTTTTTCTGTGGACGCCTGACAGACGGCTCCTGTGAATGAGGAAGGTCATTTTCCTGAACTTTGCCTGAAGACTGGGTCTGCTGGTTGTTGTCACTGATCTCATCGGTGTCATTTGAAGTGTCAAAGCGCTCCAATGACACACGCTCTTCGGTGGTTCGAGCATCTAACATCAGCTGAAGGAAGTCTCTACGTCTCTACGTGTAAAAGAAATAAATAAGAAAGATAGGAAAATGACAGTTTCAAAGCCACACACAGATTTAGGAAAGTCTGAGATTCACCTGCTCAGGAGGCTGCTCCTCTCTCTGTTTGATGATTTTGTGAATGCTGTTAATGAAGAAATGACTCATCTTGTCTCGTCTTTTGTTGGGTATGAACCTCGACAGAGGAGCCATGATGGAGGGAAAAGCAACTAAAGACAGAAACACACAAATCTGCAGAGAACTGTATACACAGCTATATCAACAAAAATGCTTAAATACTTCTTTGGCATATTCTACATCTATGTAACCTTTCTGAAATTCTTTCTTACAATTCTTTGTGATCAACTTTCTCTTTAATGTCCTACATAAATATCTGAAATTCAATTGTGTTATAATAATGACTCACAGAAAAGTAACAAGACAGACTTGAAGAAATCATTGGTGAAGGCCATCTGAGCGTGTTGGACAAGTGGGTCATCTGGGTTATTCTGCGAGTCCACCTGAGTTGCAAATGCCACACTGGCAATAACATCCATGGTAAAGTAGCCAAAGTATCTGCAAAATAGCATCAAATTTTAGAAATATGAACAGTGAAAGAAAAAATACAGTAGAAGTAAAGTAGACAAACTGCTTTCAGGCTTTCATCATTGTTTATGTATTTACCTGTGGATATCAAAGGCCTCTCCTGACTCAGCGTAGACATGCAAATTCTTCATCAGGGTATCAATGGCTGTGTTGATGAGCGGAACCATCTACACTCAAATGGAGAGATAATGACAGATGCAAAATAGTCCTATAACCACTTCAGTGAATCATAATGGGTCCATAAACATAAAAAATGGGGGACAGGTCCATGTAATTCCATAAACACCACTACCACAGCTACTTAAATTACACATACAACATAGTTCCAGGAATCTAAGTTGTCAGTTGGGATCCTATGTTGTCAGGAGGCTTTTGCAATCTGGTAGGGTCTCCCATGTCAAATTGGTCCTGGGTGAGGAACCAGACGAAGGGCGATTCAGACAACTATTGTCAGTGCAAAAACAAGGGAACAGTTTACCCTGCGCTGCATAGGGTTACTGGGACACCACCCTGGAGTCATGCCTGTAGAGGGTGCGTGGGGTTCCATGCCTTAGCCTATGGGGCATGGCTGGACGCAGGGTATTGGGACATGGAATGTCACCCCTCTGTTGTGGAAAGAGCCTGAGCTAGTGCTTGAGATTGAATGATACCAGCTATATATAGTTGGGCTCACCTCAACGCATGACTTGGACCCTAGAACCAGCCTCCCGGAGAGGGGCTGGGCTCCAGCCTGGTAGTGATGTGTTGGTCGCGAACGAAATGGCTCTTAGAGCCAGATCTTTGACGTGAACGACGCGAGAAAGCTCTTTATCGCGAGCCGTGGTTTTTTCTTTTTCTTTCTCCCACCCTCTCTCGCACTTTTTTCCCGCTTCACTCCACATGCGAGCCTTGTGCTTTGCACTGGACAGAGGGGGGAGGGGCGGGAGTTACACTCGCAGTAGCACAGGAACAGAGCGGGAGGGAGAGAGAGAAAAAGAGAGCCAGGGACAACAACGTCACATTAGAAAGGTATAGTAATCACCCACAACTATTTTCAGTTGCGGATGATAAAGGATTCAGAAAGTTTATTCATGCGGGTCCATATGACAGAGAATATGCATCTTCTTTTTGTTTTCATATTTTAATTTATATTTAATTGTGTTGTGGTTTGCAGCGTTTTGTGTTGTTTCATTTTAAATTTGTTTAAAAGGAAAAAGCTGAAAATGTAAATAGTTAAAAGTTGAACTGTGAATAGTTGGTTTTTGTATTATATGATTTATTTATTACATTTTATGTGGAGTGAATAAATAAAAGTATATTTACGGTGGCCCCTACAAACAAAGCACGTACAAACTCCAAAACAGGTACAAAACACAACAGAAGTGCTCCAGGATGCTATAGGCCCAGTGTTGAGCTTTTGTTACCTAGTGGCTAAACAAGCCAGCAAGTACCAACGACCGGATTTGGTGTGTGGTAGTAACAGGTAAATGAACATGTATGAATGCTTGTGTATAAATACACAAACAATACACATATGCTTTCAATCGTGTAATTTAACTGATCTAGTAGCTCTGTTTTGAAGTTCAGTTAACGCTAGAAATGTGTTTTGGAGTTTGTACGTGTTTTGTCTCTAGGGGCCACTGTATATTTTTATATATAAACATATATAAATAAAACCACTTTTTTTTTACATTAGTAATTCCTTTTGTGCATAATTTTATATTATTGTTAATAATAAATTAATTAAAGCAACAAAACAACCTGAAGAGCCGGTTGGGAGCCGAAAGAGCCGGCTCTCTAAAAAGAGCCAGAATTCCCATCACTACAGCCTGGAGTTGCTCTCACTGAGAAGCAGCAGGCTGGGGTGGTTATTCTGTTATGCTAGGGGCGATTTTAGCCCAATCAAAGCACCCCCAAAGATTTCTTACTTTTTTTGACAATATTTGCTATTTGTGTGACACACTGCTAAAAATATAAAAAGCATACAGTACTTGGTTGAGACATAACATTTGGTTTGTTCCAGCTCCACTCTCCCCTGCTCTGGCTCTAGCGCTGTTGCTGCCAGAGCGCTGCTGGCTGAGACGCAGCAGAGCGGAGGTGGAAGTGCCTGGTTTAAAACAGGACTGTTTAGCTGCATTTTACCTTCAGTTACTGTCCGAAAGTCTCCTTATATTTCAATCGCATCGCTATAAGTGCAATGTTAATTTCTGCCGATAAGTTCCACTTTGTTCTTACTGTTTGCTGCGGTGATGACGTCACATGCTTTTACGGCGGTCCTGCAGTATCACGAGTCGGAGGAGCACTAGGCATGTTTTTCTCCATGAGTGCGGGGGAATAGCGATCTCCAGCCGTGTGCGTTCCTGTGCAAATAACCACACGTCTGTCCACCCCTCCCACCATGTTCAAACATAAATTTCACTCAATTTTATTATTGTATCATCAGATCTGTGGCTGTATGTTCTGGACACTCGAGTGAAGAAAGGAACTGCCAACTGATCACCACCTGGTGGTGAGTTGGATCAGGTGGGGAGGGAGGATGCTGGACAAACCTGGTGCACCCAAACGTGTAGTGAGGGTGTCTGAATAGACCATGTTCAGCACCTCCACAGCTGAGGCTGCTGCACTGAGCTGCAACTGTAAGGTGTTTTGTACCTTGGTGGTAAACAAACCGAATGGTGGACACCGGAGGTAAAAGGAGGTACCAAGCTGAAGAAGGAAGCCTGTCAGGCTTGGCTAGCCTGTAGGACTCCAGGAACAGCTCTTGGGTGCCAATAGGCCAAGTGGAACACGGCTCAGGCAGTGGCTGCAGCAAAAACCTGGATGTGTTGGGTGTTTCCTGGACAGAATATCTAGTTGTATCCAGGTGGTGGGGGGATTTCCACTTTGGTGGCCTCAGGATTTCATCTTAGCGTTTTGGCTTCATTAGGTGATGACTTCCAGTTTGCACTGGAGCGGTTCGTGGCTGAGTACAAAGCAGCATGAATGAGAATTAGCACCTCCAATCCAAGACCATGGTTCACAGCTGGAAAAGAGTGGAGTGGCCACTCTGGGTCATGGACAAGTTACTGTCCCAGGTGGAGGGATTTAAGTATCTTGAGATGTTGTTCATGAGTAGCTTGCAAGAGAGAAGAGAGAGCTTAGGATAAAAGTGAAGCTCTCGAGTTACCGGTCTACGTCCCCCCAGATGAGCTGGAAGAGGTGACTGGGGTGAGAAATTTGGCCTTCCCGTCTCAGAATGTTGCACTGGCGACCCAAACCCGGATAAGCACCAGAAGATGAGATGTGATGTCATGTATCTTATCTCATCTTATCTTATCTCACTTAATGAGAACTTTATTTTCTCACTTCTTTCATCTTGGCAGCACTGAAAGATGGGGTCAGGACACTCCGTACTCGTTTCCACTGTTCATTCCTTAACTGGAGAAGGCAATCAGAAGCAGGCTTTTTGGCAAACACAAATTTCTGCAGCGAGATAAGAGAGCATAGGCAAAACAATCTGTAATAACTACTCAGTAACTCTTGTGTGACAATCAGGAATAAACACACATGTTGCATCTTTGCTTTGTATAATTTCCTTACATTCCTGTTAGGGAAGTTGCTGAAGTCCTTCACCAGCAATTGTCTGAGCATATCAGGGTCTGCTACCACTATCACTGGTGTCCGGCCCAAATAATACCTGAAGTATGAGTCCAGACAAAACATGATGGGTAAAGTATCATCTCAAACTGCAGATTATTTATATAAGCAAAATATTCACAATCTTATTTCAGTAGTTGCTGTTGTAGGATGTATTTTTACTTACCCACATACTTTACCATATGTTTTGACAAGATCATTCAGAGGTTTGAAAAAACCCTGAAAAGAATATTTGAAAAACACAGTAGATGTAACAGTCAGCTGACAATGACACAAAGATGAGAACAAGGACACCATCCCAGTTTGATGCAAAATCAAGCAGACATTGAAGGTAACTCTGGTCTTCCTTTGTTACACTGTATCTTACCTGCTGAAACATAAATAAGTTGCCAAAGAAAGGCACTGGCTTTGGATGTTTGATGCCACATCGTGAGAGGACTGAGAAGGGACGGACTGAATACCTACAGGCAAAAATGTTGAAATGTGTTGTTTGTAGGTTGAATGAAAAGAATTTGTGTCAAATGCAGTAAAGAACAGAGCTCACCTTTACCTGGATTCTGTCTAGAGTTATTGTTGCATTCGTTTGCACTGCCTGCTCTATAAAATGTCAATGTATGTGCTTTATGGCACTAGCAGATTATCTACGTGTCCTTATTTCCCTTGAAAAAAGTGTATCATTGACATACTCACCAGTAGAGGAGACCAAGAAAAATGAGGAAGAGTGTCACAGATATTTTGCTGGTCTCAGTGTTGAATACATTTAGAAAGTCACCTGCAGCCTGCATGTTGGAAAATCTTCTCTCAGTTTTCAATCATTAATAAGAGAAAAAGGCCCCTGGAGAGAAAAACAGCAAAAAAGAATTAGTTATACTAATATTTTTATTCAATACTTTAGTCATGACTTTCACTAGAACAAAGCATTTAAGGGTATTGTGCAGAAATTCAGGCTTTTGGGGAAATAAACACCTGCCAAAGACCATACATCTATTCCATGTTGTCAAGCCGCTTTGTCCCCGATCAGTTGTGTGGTTTCTTCCAAGACTTTCTACTTACTGAAGCTTTTTTTGTAGCCTTGAGAACTCACCTGAAGAGGAGAGATGTCTGTTCCTATTGTATCCACTTCTGTTTTGTGCACACAAATGTTAAACCACAGATAAAATAGTAACTACAGATTTGGATTGCCTCACCACCTCCATAAATGAGACAGAGCAGGGTAAAGGTAATGAGTTAAAGAGCTGCTATTGCACAAACTTTTAGGGGTCCATAGTTCAGCTTTGCTTTTCTTTAGTCAACTGTCTGAACCTGTATTGCAGTTTTTAACCCTGATGTAACTCATGTAATGTTACGCTAGCCAAAGAAAATTACTTCTTGAAGAAAGAAGATGCGAGAACAATATGCAACACAGGAGCTTTATTTGATGACAAGACAAAAAGTCTATCAAAAGTGACATAAAGTGACACAAAAAGACTAAACTGAAGATGCCAAAATATTCATTAAATTATTTTCTTTTTTGCAGCTATAAAGCGGGAGGCTTAACTTGTCTTTGCCATTCCTGGCTGTTTGACAACCTTTTTACACAAGTAGAGCCTCAAAACACTTTGGAAAACCTGCCACAGTTTTTCATCAAAGTTAAACTTTCTCAGTCGATTCTTCCTCTTCGTGCAATACAAAGTTGAGACATCACCAGTATTGATTTTGTCGTGCAGAGAAAATTTGAATCAGATGTTTTGTCTCTAAAGAGTCGTGAAGGTTGTCTAAATGGTACGAGATAGATGTTTTTACACCTATTTTTACTGATAGACAGATTTTTATTTCAATACAGAAAATTTCACATGAATATAAAAACTGCAAAATTTCACAAAATGTGTTCTTTTCATTATTTGCACAATTCTGTTTACAACCAGCACTGAAAATCTCATCATTGGGGATGATATAAATGCTGCATGTTGCAATTCCTTTCATTGTCTGTAGAGAGTGCTCGCGCCCAATGTGTGTAGACACTGTGTCCCAATCCACCTGAAAGAATTTAGAATGTGCCAGATTAAATCAACTTTGCTGTCAAAAAAGATTTAGTATTTTATGATTTGCAAAAAGTAGTGATTTCATCCACTTTGTTTGTACGTGCTTTAATAAAGAATAATATCAGATATATTGTCATGTTTCATTTCTCTCATTCTCAAACAGTTGTAATCACAAAATTACAATTTATATGTGCCTGAGAAACATTTGCATTAATTATCAGTCAATCCCTTATTATATTTAAGTCTAAATATTTCAGTGTTGCATTTTTTCAAACATCTACCAAGTCCTGACCATAAATGAAACAAGTGCCACTGAACTGATGGACATACAGTAAGAGATTGTTATGTTTCAGTATGGTGTAAATGATTTAATCAGCTGATGACAGATGAGCTCCTTGTTCTCTTCTTGTGATTTTCACAAAAACACCATTTTTGGGTCCAAGAGTGCTGGATGACTTCAACTCAAGAGGAACCTGAAGATAAAAAGAGAACATCTTCCATATATTTGTGTAAAAATATCTTAAAAATGGAAGCATCTGACAAATGTGTATCTAACCAGTAGTCATAGGATTACATGACTATTTGCAGCTTATGGCAGTTTCAAATGTCCAATAAACTCCAGCATAGTCATTATTTGCAGCTGATAATACTGACCGTCCAAAATTGTATATGACATTAAAGCAAAAAACAATTAAAGGACATGTGAGAGTAGTTTTTGGTCATGCTTCCACTAAAACCTAAATTTAAAGATAGGTTTTCTTACCGGTGGTTACCTTACGGCATAATATACAAATATATTGATGTTTTCAGTTTTTTCAGTGTAATTCACAGTAAACAGTGGTTGTAGAATTACATGCTTGTAGTTATAAATTCAACAGTCTTAGAGTTATCCAGTGTAGGAATTACTTTAATGAAAATGTATGGGTTTTCTCTTATTGCATCCTACCTTAGTATCAGAACAGGCTTTTATGCTGAAGTTGTGGAACAGATGCATTAAAGCCATTTTGATTTCAAGCTGGGCGAGTCTCATTCCCACACAGTTACGAGGGCCAGCTCCAAATGGTAGGTATACGAATGGATGTCGAGCGGCCTTGGCTTCTGGTGTAAACCTGGAAAACAACAGCAAGTTTTTTTTTTAAAGAAGAATGAAAAGCATTGGAAAATAAAGGAAATCCCATGCATGGTTCAGTCCCAGTTCCAAAAATCTTTTACAGTGTGTAAAGAAAACAGAATGCATTGATTTACAAACAACAAATCCAGATGCTGAACTGGCCTGTCTGCAGTCTGCACCTTTTACCAACTGAAAACATTTAGCACATCATGAAAGTGCAAAGTGCAAAAAAGAAGTCCTAAGACTGTTGAGCATCGAGGGTCTTATACAGTATCAGACAAGAATGAGACAACATTCTTCTCCCAAAGGTCCAGCAGCTGGTCTCCTCAGACTGTTGTTAAGAAGAGGGCATACTACTAACTGGTGAATATCGCAGTGTCACAACTTCAAAGCTGCCAACAAAAACAACAAGAGCAAATGTTGTTTCATGAAATAATAAAATGTCTCAGTTTAAATGTTTTCAGTCTTGTCCTATTGTGAATGAAATATATGTTTATAAGATTTGTAAACGCATTGTTTTAATTTACATTTTACACTGTGTCCCAACATTTGAATTGAGGTTGTATTTGTGGGTTGCACGTGTTATAATGTCACTACACAAAAGTGTTTACCACACCTTAACAATTGTATTTGTACCACTGTACAGAAAAATATTCCATGTGTATGTTGTTAATATACAGCTGTTATTCGTGTTAATAAGTCAACATTTGAATGGCTGTGACTCACTTCAAAGTTAACTTCAATTGGTGCTATCTTTAAATGTGAATTTTCGGCACCCAGTCATTATTTCAGTAAACACAAGTCAGTCTTTTTACTCGTTTCAGACAGAACTGAAGCACCTCTCAGGAATGAACTTCTCAGGCTCGGGCCAGTGTTCTGGGTCATAATGGAGGAAGCCTGCAGGGATATCCAGTATTGCTCCTTTAGGAAGTTGCTGACCATTCACCACACAGTCATGTTCTATTTCTCGTGCAAACCTTAGTGGGACAAAATATGACAAAAAAGATTGTTTTACAGAATCCAAATACTGTTTTCTTTATTCCACACAGTTATAATTGGACTCAGCATATTCATAAGAGCTGTAACTGTCAGCATGAAGTGTTTCCCCACCACTCTATTGACTTTAGCTGTCATTTATAGTTGCAGTCATGTCCTCCTCTCTGTTTCTCTGTACTTGTGTCCATTTAAGGAAGATGAGTTTAAGTGTACTGATAGTTACTGAACATATTTTAATGCATCTGCAACCAAATATGAACAGAACCTGAGCCTTAACGTCCCAAAGTCAGAAAACATCTGTATTATTGAAATGCACTAATGTTTGATCTCGCAACCGCGTCAGTAATTATAATAATAATAATAATAATAATAATAATAATAATAATAATAATAATAATAACGATAGAGTTTTTACCGATGATAGGATTATGGCTATACCCCATGAAAAGCTACAAACAAACAACTTTTATTTGTCACACACACAATCATAAATAGTACAACATGTAGTGAAATGCTTGCATTGGAGCTTCGGACAGGCTGCAAACGTAGCTGCGCTATTCGAGGGCTTTGGGGTTTGTTTGTTTTTAGCATGGGGAGTCTAGCCAGGACCCTTAATGAATAATGGGTGGAAATCGAACTTGCAACTCCTGCTCCAAAAGTGTGTAGTTTTACTACTACACTATCTAGCTGAGACAAACAGTTGATGAATGTTTCAAAAAAAAGCCAAAACTGAAAATCTTCCAAAGTCACAGCATACGACTCCAGGCCCCACTGTGGCCAACCTTCATATCCAATTGACATCCTTCTTTACCTGAATCCAGGAGGGTAGAGGCGTAATGCTTCACATATAACCATGTCCAAATACTTCAGCTCCTGCACATTTGTGTAATCAGGTGAGTCCTACAAAGCAAACAGCATGACAATCAATGACTGTCCACAACTGCATGAATCAAAATAGATCAGAACCAACTGTAAAACACTCACATGTCTAGTGTAGAAGTCATCCACCTCTTTCTGTACTTTGAGTTGACATTCAGGGTGGAGGGCCAAGAGGTAGCAGGTGAACGCCAGAGTGTTGCTACTGGTTTCATAGCCTGCCAGGAGGAAGATTACTGCCTGACCAACAATCTCATCCTCAGTCATCATCTTTTTCTGTGGACGCCTGACAGACTGCTCCTGCTGGCTCCCGTTTTCTTGAACTGTGCCTGAAGACTGGGTCTGCTGGTTCCTGACATCAGTCTCATGAGCATCGTTTGATGTGTCAAAGTGCTCCAATGACACACACTCTTCAGTGGCTCGAGCATCTAATATCAGCTGAAGGAAGTCTCTACGCCTCTACGTGTAAAAGAAGTAAATAAAAATGAAAGGAAAAGGACTCTTTCAAAGCAATGCACAGATTTGGGAATGTTGAAAGTCTGAGATTCACCTGCTCAGGAGGCTGCTCCTCTCTCTGTTTGATGATTTTGTGAATGCTGTTAATGAAGAAATTATTCATCTTGTCTTGTCTTTTGCTGGGTATGAACCTCGACAGAGGAACCATGATGGAGGGAAAAGCAACTAAAGACAGAAACACACAAATCAGCAGAGAACTGTATACACAGCTATATCAACAAAAATGCTTCATACTCAATACATAGAATTATTTATCATGCTTAACTATAACTTTAAGGAATTCCCCACATTCCTTTTTATTTTCTTTGCCCTCATCTTCTTTTATTATTGTCCCATTTACATATCTCAGTTTCATTAATTTTATAATAATGACTCACAGAAAAGTAACAAAATAGGCCTGAAGAAATTATTGGTGAAGGCAATCTGAGCGTGTTGGACAAACGGGTCATCTGGGTTATTCTGCGAGTCCACCTGAGTTGCAAATGCCACACTGGCAATAACATCCATGGTAAAGTAGCCAAAGTATCTGAAAGATGGCATGCTATCAGAAAACTATGAACAATGACAGAAAAAAAACACAAAAAAATATTATTTTAATTTTTGCTTTACCTATGGATGTCAAAGGCCTCTCCTGACTCAGCGTGGACATTCAGATTCTTCATCAGGGCATCAGTGGCTGTTTTGATGAGCGGAACCATCTACACTCAAGTGGAGAGATAAGGACAGATGTAAACCAGCTCTATATACTCCAGTGAATCATCATAGGTCCATAAACATAGAAAATGGGGGAAAGGTAGCTCCATAAACACAACAGCACAGACACTTAAACTACACATACTGCAAAAGATGCAGACATGCAGTAACCAACTGCAAAAGTGAACGCTGGGTGTTTAAAGGTTTATGAGTTCCTTCTGGTCACAAAGAAAAATATTTAACTTGCTGACCAGTTGAAATGAAGACATAAAGAAGGTACAAAGTTAATATTAAATGTATTTAAATTTACACTTAAATGATACAAATTATGTATTAATAAAAGTTACAAAGAAACACCAGCAAGAACTGGATGTTTAGCTCTTTTACCAGAAACTTTGAGTTTTTTACTTCCTCATTTCAAACATTGTGTAAGCTAAAGATGGGGGAGATGTGAAAATAAATAACAAACACATAAATTATGAAATTTGTAAACTGACTTAAAACAGGAGAGAAAAAAATGGCACTGAGTTTTGGATACACACAAGATTCAAATCATTCTCTTATAGGTAAAAGTCCTCAGCTTAATTAAAGGAATCTTGCTGATCTTCTAGTTCATATCTTATCTTATCTGTCTTGGTTATATGAGGAATCTTTATTTTCTCACTTCTTTCATCTTGGCAGCACTGAAAGACGGGGTCAGGACGCTCCGCACTCGTTTCCAGCGTTCATTCTTTAACTGGAGCAAGCAATCGGATATAGGCTTTTTGGCAAACACAAATCTCTGCCCAGAGAAATAAGAGAGCACAGGCACAAAATGTGTAATAACTGCTCAGTTATTTGTGTGAGAATCAGAAATAAACTCGCATCATGCATCTACATGCTCTATATAATGTTCTCACCCTTCTATTAGGGAAGCTGCTGAAGTCCTTCACCAGCACTTGTCTGAGCATATCAGGGTCTGCTACCACTACCACTGGTGTCCGGCCCAAATAATATCTGAAATATGCAGCGTATACTTTAGTGACCAACCAAGTGTAAAGTGTCATCTCATTTCACTCTGTAGATTAATCAATAAACTCAAAAAACTGTAGATCGTTTATAGAAGAAAAATATTCACAATTTCAGTAGTTGTTGTTGTAGGATGTGTTTTTACTTACCCACATACTTTACCATATGTTTTGATAAGATCATTCAGAGGTTTGAAAAAACCCTGAAAAGAATAATTAAAAAAATACAGTCGATGTAACAGTCAGCTGACAATCTTTTAACAATGACAAAAAGTAGGAACAAGGGAACCATCCCTGTTTGATGCAAAATCAAGCAGACATTGAAGGTAACTCTGGTCTTCCTTTGTTACACTGTATCTTACCTGCTGAAACATAAATAAGTTGCCAAAGAAAGGCACTGGCTTTGGATGTTTGATGCCACATCGTGAGAGGACTGAGAAGGGACGGACTGAATACCTACAGGCAAAAATGTTGAAATGTGTTGTTTGTAGGTTGAATGAAAAGAATTTGTGTCAAATGCAGTAAAGAACAGAGCTCACCTTTACCTGGATTCTGTCTAGAGTTATTGTTGCATTCGTTTGCACTGCCTGCTCTATAAAATGTCAATGTATGTGCTTTATGACACTGTTTGCCATAAACTGTTTGCCTTATGACACGCAAATATATAAGTGACCTCATTTCTACTGAACAATGAACATCACAAATAAGCCACCTAACATTTATTTACTCACCAGTAGAGGAGACCAAGAAAAATGAGGAAGAGTGTCACAGATATCTTGCTGGCCTCAGTGTTGAATACATTTAGAAAGTCACCTGCAGCCTGCATGTTGGAAAATCTTCTCTCACTTTTCTACCATGAACAGGACAAAAAAGGCTCCTGGAGATTAAAACAGCACAAAATAATTAATTATACTAAAATTATTGTCGAATATCTTTGTCATGGCTTTCACTTACGGTATTTTAAACACCAAAGCTGTGTAGTAACTCCTTCTGCAAGGGAAACAAACATATGACAGTGATCATACATATTGTCAGGCTGCTTTGTCTCTAACAGATTAGCCGTACGGTTTCTCCCAAGACTTGTTAATTTTTGAAGCTTTGTTTAAGCCTTGAGAACTCACCTTAAGAGGAGTTCCTAATGTATCCACCACTGTTTTGTGTGCACAAATGTTAAACCACGGGTAAAATACTAACTACATGCATTGCCTCACCACATCCATAAATGAGACAGAAACCACTCCCACTTGTGTAGAAATGTGGCAGTGAGGCAAAGGTACTATTGGATTTATTTGTAGAAGTCCAGGGTTCAGTTTTTGTTTTCACTGCATTTGTCTGAATTTGTAATGCAGCTTTTAACCCTGATGTAACTCATGTTATGCTACGCTAGCCAATAGAAATTAATGTCTCTACAACACTGGATTTTTTTGTGATCACAAGATATATTGCTTTTCACAAAGTTCTACTGCTCCTATAGAGAGACTGCAGAATAAATTTATATCATGTCAAAACATTTGTAATGTTGTAGTAACTGAAGAATCCGACGGTAACAAGTCACTGAATCTCCAAAAGTTGCTTCTGTTCATCTGGACGTAGCGTTTTGTGGGAGAAATGTTTCGTCACTCATCCAAGTGACGTCTTCAGTCTCAGCTGACTGCAGGTTTCCCCAAATCTTATAAACAGGACATTTGCATAATGACTGAAACCAGCCCACTGAGGGAACAATGGGCTGGGAGGTCAGTTCCTTATTCCTAATTATGAACACAATTTTTGGAGATTTGCTTTCCTGGATGATTGAGAATGCATCAAGAAGTCACTGAATACTTTTTTGTAACTTTTTTTTGTACTTTCTTTGAAAGCATTCTTTCAAATCCAATCTGCTTCCAATGGAAAGCACAGGTCAGTAACCTTGCACATAATTTCAGGCATGGTGTAACATCGTTTTCAGCACAACTACAGCTGTAAGTTAAAACAACGCTGCCGCATTAACAGGAACAAACAATGAAAGCTAAAGAACCAAAACAAGCACAGCAAACACGATGTCCTTAAACTAAATATGAAACACAGTGACACAGAGGCATGATGGGAGACTGCATTTAGCCATGTAGCCATTCACAACACTCCATAATAGCATTTTTTTTATAACTATAAGGGAGATGTTGTGTTTATTGTTCCTGGATGGGGGTTTTTTTTTCTTACTAAACTTACATGTCAACATGCCAAAAGTCAAATTGAGCCATCACTATTTACAATTTTGTTGCATTGTAGAAAGAACTGGAACCAATTGGATGTCTTGTCTCTGAACAGTCAACGCATCTTTCTGTTTTTCTTTTTTTAATTTTTTATGCTAATTTGAATAGATATAAGATAACTGGTGTCATAACATGATATTGCATTTAAATATTGTATAAGTACTTCTGTTACCCATGCTTTATTTCACGATTAGCTATTTCGTTATTTCCGCAATTTGGTGACACTCAGCAAAGCCTCGGCATCAGGAAATAGAAAGGCTGTATGTTGCAATTTCTCACAATGCCTGTAGAGAGCGCTCTTATACAACGCTATCCACATCATCTGTCACAGCTGACAATACAGTCTTCTTCACATCAGAGCTTAAGCAGAAAAAAATCCCTCTAATAAAACCATCAATCAAAATTACAGTTTTCCTCAAAATAAACCTCCTTAACGGCTTCAAGTTGTGACTGAAATCTTTCAATATCCATTCAACAAGAGTTTTTTATTGTTTCTCTAGATTTCAAACACACGACTCATCTATTCCTGTCTGCAGGAAAAAATAAATAGCTTTTGAGAGGCGTATAATAATAAATTCTAATTTATGAATATAAAACACAAAACAGGCAAGACATCAGAATTTAGTTACACATTGTATTGGGCCGAATTTTGTAAAAAAAAAAAAAAAAATCTTGATAAAACAATGCAATTCCAATTATTTGATTTATTTAAGAGAAACAGCTCCATTCACATTGAGGTGAGAGGAAAATGTGTTTTTAATGACAGACAGTGAAAATAGAAATGTGATACTAATGTGTTGATTGGCTCATGAGTAACAGAAAAAGTAACAGATCATTAGGGCGAGCTGGCCATCTGAATTCAGATGACATAGTGTCCTTATTATGCAGATTCAATGACAATTACTTATCCAATTCCTTTGAGGTTTTAAACAAAGCTGACTCTACAAGTTCAAAGTGTTTTTGCGTGTGAGCGTACGCGTGCATGACATGCCAGTAATCAATTTCAGCATAAAGCATCATGTCACAAACTACAGGATGTGCAGAGGACTGATAGATCTGTGTGCTGGATTTTGCAAGTCAGCTTTTAAACTATCAAATGAATCCATACCCACAGTTTCTTTCAAAGGCTCCAACTCCACAAGATCTAGAAAAATCTGGTCTGGCCTAAGAGTGTAACAAGTAAAAGCACACTATTTATCTTTGGCCTAAATGACCGAAGCTTTTAGAGAGCTGCAGAGAAAAGGTCAAAGAGATTGTTCAAGGCAAAGTTATAGCACACAAGAGGATGACATCTAGAGTCAGAGGACGCGTTCTTTTCAGCATTCATTCTCACGAGGCAGATTTGCACAATATTTCTGGTCTGATAAACATGCATCATCCTTACTGCAGGATGCAGCCAGGCAGGAATAACAATGGAGTTGGAGCGGCACTAAGCTATTAATGGAGAGACTAGCTCAGGAAGAAATGAGGAGTTGGTTGGGTACCGCCTGCTCTGAGCACCGCCAGAGGGCACTGGGAGGCTGAAATGAGACATGATGAAGACTCCCTCTTCTCCCCCCTCTCCTGCTAGTCTACTACCACTCAGACTGCCTAAAGCCACACAGCGTCAAAGTTTGGTATGTGGCTGAATGCAGCATAAAAGAAATACCGCAGAGATGATGGTGCATATAGACATATAGTCTTACGTACAGGCAAGTATATGGTCTTTTGTTATTCTCATTAAGGTCTGACTTACTTGTTAAACACTCATCATGTATGTAGCAGTGTTTACTACTTCCCCTTTCTCTGAGTTCCTTGACAATGTGCAATTTTCTACCCACAGACCCTTTTAAAACACTTAAAATCTTTACATACTCCATCAGGGTGCAGCCTGAAGGGCAACCTGCAGGAGGGTTTCCATCATATAGTGAATCATAGCCTGCTGTTATATCATTCAGTTCTTCTGTTGCGGGTTTTTGTGTTTGATAAAACGCACAAGATTTTAAAAAATGGGTCAAACTCAAACAGAAATGTATTTCATTTGCAATTCAGACTATGCATGTCAAAGTTTCTCCCATACAAGACAGCCAAATAATCACTGAAGTCCAAATATGTCAGAGTCGCTCAAAATATGAGAAAATATATGTTCACCCAAGCACTTGAGTTAATTTAATAAAATCTTTATGTCCATGCTGATATGGAACATCATGAGAGTTCATATTTTTAATTTAGGATAAAGCGAGTAGCCCCACAGCTATTTGTGTTTTTTACCATAATCACATGGTCGTTCCTATTCATAAATATTGACTGATTGCAGACTGCTTGAATCAAGCCCACAAGTGCATCTATTTTAAGGTGCAGGATCCCTGAGGGTAAAACAGAGAAGGAAAACAGGTTTTACAATGTTCGAACCCTTCAGATCTTTATCAAATAACTGTGATGGCTTAGCATTTTTCAGCCATTGAAATCATTAAATTCAATAGTTAACCCTGCGTTACCGTTGCCTTATCTAAATCCTCAGTTGAAAGACAAACGTGCGCCACCAAAAGGGGAAGAAAACATATCAGGCACAAAGGAAACGCAGCTTTGGCAGGTTATTCCAAGAGGGCAGACCTTGGCATAGTAACAGCCTGAATGCTGGCAGAGTAGTCTCTGTGAAGTGTCATGTCTGATGCTTAATGAGTCCAGGTAAAGTGTTTGCTGTGAGACAGGGGCAAGGGAACTAATGAAATCCCTTCCACCCTGCTTTCAGAAGCAATTACTTCAAAATAAACGCTAACCACCAGACGACATGTCAAATAATGTCTAACAGCTCAAAGCAGGAATATAACGTTGCCTTAAAAATTAACTGAGATTCCCTGAATCCGTATTCAAAGGGGAACCCCCAAACTTTCCAGAGACGTTCCAGCAGTGCGAGGCAGGAGGCATCAAATTGGCTCTGTATGTTTAGATGAACCTCTTGTCTGCAAACTGAGGTTAATTAATGAAGTCATTTAAAATAAAAAGGGAAAGGGAGGGGACAATCCAAAGACATCTTTAGTTTTCTTTTTTTCCTAATGCATTCTTTAGCAGGTCGCATTTGATGGAGACAAAAACATCCAATTACTGTGTAAATAAAGTCAGCTGTTGTGGCTCTCCCTTTTATGCCTGATTTGTCTTTGTGTTTGGGCCTTTATGTTCCTTTGTCCAGGCTCCCCTTCCAGTCAGTGCCTGCCAGGCTTCCTGGTCTTAACCGCTTACACGGTAGCTGCATCCTGGCTTATTTACATTACATTACATCCAATTTGAATGAGGCCTGCTGAGAGACGAAACACACAAAAATAGGCTGGATACAGTGAGTGTGTCGTACAGCAGAGCACAGAATACTCACAGCATCTTTGGTCTAGCTACCATAGCCGCATGTTTTTGTTGGGTCATCAAGAACTGTTATTTGTATAAATGCATATATGTGAAAAACAGTCTGAGAGCTTTGGGTTTTGCAGTCTGCATTGTGTGCAAGCTGGAAACAAGACACAGACATCACAATCAGAAGAAAATAACCCTGTGACTGTGAAAAATGGGTCAGATAAGAGCTTGAATGGACTGTGATACCAAACATAAGAATATACATGTAAATAGAAAACTTACAGATCCAGCAATCTGCATTTTTACAATACCAAGAGATTAAATAACTATGGTATTTTAAATGTTCAAGTTGTCTATCACTGCAATCCAATGTTATGCATTTGTAGCTCTTTATTTTAGGGCCTGCAGCTGTATTTGGTTTAATCTCTGTGCACTAAGAAGCAGAAGCATCAAGGAAAAAACACAAAACTCTAAAAACACACATCAGACTAGCCAGACTATCCAATGCCAGGAAGTATGAATATTGAATAGTGCTGGATAGTAAACGAATTCCAACATTTCTCTGCTGGATGTGGAAGTGGGAATCAGTTTTCCATGTGGATAATGGAAACAAGCTGTACACGGTGGTCAAAACAATCACACAGGCCACATTTATT